AACTTGAGAGAGAAAAAAAGTATTGCAAGTTTTGAAAATTTAAGGTAGAGACCTTTACTTGTCTACCTCAAAGTTTGCCAAAATAATAGAATTTTTGCGAGTGTATTTTAATTTTCTTGCCGTGGAAACTCATCGTAATCGACTGCAAGGATTTACAATCCGAGTCATTCTGTTTAATATTACTCAAGGGCTTGTAAAATGTGTCCTTTTTGTGATACTGCGTCAAATCCTCCTCAAAACCTAGCCCTTAATCTCAATGTAAGATCTTCCTAATTGAGGGAGCTGTTTCCATTTATTGCTTTTTGGCTCATTGGATGAATTATCTACCTGAAGGCAATACCGCTTTCAATTTGAAGTCTCACAGAAGCATCTCCAATTTTTTGAAGTATCTTGAAGACGAAAGCACCAAACCACGCAAAAAATGGCGACTCTCTTTTAAAAGAGCAGAGTCATGTTACTTGTTAGTAACATGATGCACGCAGGTCGCCACTGTGCAAGGAAAACTGGAGTGCCTTCAATTTTTTGTGTATACAACACATGACATCCGCAGAGCAGGTTTAGTTGCATCCAGGAGTCGTCATCAATGTCTCATCCTTCTACGATGCGCGTTGGCGTCGTATCGCCCAACATACTAACATCTACCGTAATTTTTTATCATCGTGTGTACGGCTTAGCTTTTTTGATCATTCATTGATTTTACTCATTCATCAATACGCAGGAGGTGTAGATCATGTCAGCTCTATTTTATTTTCAATAAAGAGAATTGCTAATATCCTGAAGTCCACAGGCTCAGGTTGAATCAGAATGAGTCTATCACAGCAATATTCGGTAGCGCTCTCTAGGTTTTGAATTTCCCACATTCCAGATGAGGGAACAAAAAATTGGGATCATGAAATATTAATTCATCTCGGCAGTGGCAGCTCAGCGCGGTGTGCCTTCTTATTTGCGGTTAATTAAAAACTGCGGCACGAGCCCGAGTGCCTACCTTTGAATCAAGCCACGCACCTGCTTCAATTTAAATTACCTAACCTTTCGGCTCTGAGGTCAGGGATCCACGCATTTGACCCTTTTTTTCGCCTACTCCGGTGTTTTCTTTCAATTTCTCCCGGGGCTGATCAACACCATCCCTCATTCAGTCCGTAATAACTGAGGCGCTCAATGTTTTCCTCTCTCTTGTTTGCCGATCCTCATATTACAAACATTAATTATGGTTTATAGAATCTTTCCAAAAGAGCTAAAATGCCGACAGTAGCTTTTGAATTCAAAAGCAGTAGGTATAACCTTTTTACTATGAATCCCAAGGACGAGTTCTAGAAAACGCGTCTCGATGCTAAAATCTGACTCCCAGATCAGCGATTATTTTTATACTAAGACTGTGAACAGAATTGCTTGGTTTTAAATTCAAAATTGACTTATTACCCAATTTATCTGTACTTACTAAGCATCGCCTGCTCGTGAATTCTCGGCGAAATCCACCGTGTTGCGCGGCTAACATGACTCTGAAATTAGCGGTTATTTTAATACTAAAATGGGCATGTTCTCATTTTAATAATGATAAAGACTGGCATCATAGCTACAACTGGTAAATCGCATTTTGTATGTGATTACAGATTAAGGTGACCAGATGTTAGAGTGAGGCTGAGTTCAAAAAACCGATCAAAACCAAACAGTTCAAAAGTGGGATGAGATTTACAAAATGAAATCTTTAATAATTAAACGTGTTGCAGTTAGCAGTTAGGAACCGTGAAACTAATGGCAAGTTAGTTGAAGCCAAATAACTGCGCATTTTACAAAATAAAATTGAGGAGCTTTCCGGAAAAAGGCACATACCGAAAAAACAAGTTGTGAGAAAAACTCATTTGAAGTTCTCATTCCTACTTTCTGGGCACTGGTGATGACATACATCGGAATTGGGGCACGCATATCAACGTTCATACACCCTAGAATGAATAACGACCATTGGTAAAACTTACACTTCTTTCTGTGTTGTGGGAGGAATTTCTTAAAATTTTCCGTTACGTGCCCTTTTTCCGGAAATGGACAGGTGGTCATAGGTTTTGGCTTTCAAAGCTGAATTTTCAAGACTTTAACGAGTTTCTAAACGAAAATAAATCATAATTTCGATCGCGAACGTGCGGGTGGATCATTTTCGATCATGGTTAATAAAAAAGGCAGCAAAACACGCGAAAAAAACGAAAAATTCAAACCCACAAGAGACCATTAAAAATTGAACCATTAATAATTACAAAATTTCACGTGCCACCGGTGCAACGCGTAGACAATCACTGCAGCCCGATGATATTGCATTCATTAGTAGAATCAGTGCGATGCATCTGTGGTGAGGGATCCTTACTTATATCAGTACCCTCACCTGCCTGCCTGCCTGCGCCCTGCGCGCTATCTCCTCAACGTCGCGTCGCGGCGACCGTACCCAGGGGCAAAAAGATGAAATACGCCTGACTTAGCCTCACAAAACTTGGTCTCTTAGCTCCAAAAATTGATCAATTAAGCTGAAACTTGGGACATTGGTACATTAGGATGCGAGGAATCCGTTTCTGCCATTTCCGGAAAAAGGGCACATACGCGTATGTGCGGTGTGCCCCTTTTCCGGAATGCTCCTCAATTATGTTACATTTTTATTGCCTTAAGCATTTCGATTGAAAGATCATCTCCGGAGGTATAATGGGTCAGTTGCGCTGGTCACAGAATCGTGTTTTGATACTCAATTCTTGTAGATTAGCTAAAAATAGTAAGATCTGTCTAAACAGCAACTTTCTACGTTCAATATTAGCCGAGATATCGCCCTTTGAAAAGTCGGGCTTTGTCGTCATTCACCGCGGTACCGCGGTAGTGACACCCCTGGTTTCTTCCACCTTATTGCAGTTTTACGTTAAGTAACTGGTGCAAATGTGCGTCACACTGACAGATGAAAACCAGGTGGAAGAAATCAAGGGTGTTACTACCGCGGTGAATGACGTCAAAAACTCGACTTTTCAAAGGGCGATATTGAACGTAGAAAGTTGCCGTTTGGACAGATCTTATTATTTTAAGCTAATCTACAAGGACCAGGTATCAAAAGACGATCCTGCATGTGATCAACACAACTGACCCATTCTTAGCAAGTGCAGAGGTGTACATGGTTGATTGAAAACAAAATAATTGATTTAAGAATTAGTGCGTGCTGCAGAGCTGCCCTTTTGAGCCCCGAGAGCACCGTCGCCTAACCTCAAAGTTACCGATATGTCCGCACTCTCCCTTCATTTCCCATGTTTGTCTAACCTGCAGGGACGGACTGGCCAGGGTGGCGATGGGGCGATCGCCCCACTTTCATCGGCCAAAAGGGGCCCCTCAGGGGCCCCTTTTGGCCGATTTGAAGGGCCGTATTTCGCCGTTTCGAAGAAGCGCCCGAGGGCTTTTTCGGTTCGTCCTCGAGAAAGGGCCCCGAGACTCCTGAGAGGACAGGACACTTTATTGCCGATTCGGAGAGCGCCCTGAAGGAGCTTTTTTATGCCGTATCTAAGGGCGTTGCATTTTGAGAGCCCTTTTTTCTGATTCGAATAAGTCCAAAGGGGTCCTTTTTTGTCATTTCGGAAGAGCCCTGAAGGACTCATTTATTGCCGATTCGAAGAAGACTCGATGGAGCCTTTTTTTGCCGCTTCTAAGGACCTTAAAAGAGCCCCTTTATATGATTCGAAGGAGTCCTTTTTTGCCATTTCCAAGGGACCATTTATTGCCGATTTGAAGAGGCCTTGATGCGGTTTTATACCGCCTCTAAGGACCTTCAAGGCACCGGGCTCTTTATCGCCGATTCGACAAAAGGGTCCTTTTTACCGGGGGCCCTTTGGTACTGATTCAGAGAGGCCTCGAGGGCACATTTCTATGCAATTTTGAACTTTGGAGGCCCTTAGTAGGGAACCTTTCCTACCTTCCTCAAGGGATTTCGTAGGGGCCTTCGGCGATTTTTCCCCCCTTTAGCGAAATCCATAATGGGGGCTGTCCATATAATACGTAACGCAGTTTTTCCGATTTTTTTACCCCCATCCCCCCTCCGTAACGCATCGTAACGCAAGCTCGAACCATCCCCCCCCTCAAAAAAAATAAATAAATACGTAACACAAGCCTCGCCCTCCCCCCTATTTTGGTCAGTTTTTTAAATTAACAAGGAAAAAAAAGGTCTTACGGCAAAAAAGAGTTACGTAACGTTGGGCTTGACCCCCCTCCTCCCCCCTTAATACGTTTATTATACGTTTTTTATTTTTATTTCGATGGCTAAATTCTGAAAACACGTATCTCGGAATCCGCATCATTAACTCATGAACCCTGAGACTCATAAGGATACACGCAAAACATGAGCATCCTTACGAGTCTCAGGGTTCATGATGCGGATTCCGAGTTACGTGTTTTCAGAATTTAACCATCGATTTATTCATTCATTACGCGTCATTTAACTAGTAAACGACACTGATTTTTCTATGAGCAGAGCGAAGAAAGGATCCAATAAAACGTTCAAAAAAAATTAAGACAGTTGTCAATTTTGGCGGCTAAAAAGTACATTTAAAAAAAACGAACGAACAAAAACATCCGAACTGTGTTTTTCAGAATGTGTTCTTTTTAGACTGTCACTATTACTATTCTACTTGATTCTATGTATCTTCTGTATACTAATTTAGCTTTGGCACAATTTTTCGTTGGAAGAGGAAAATAAAAGTTGAATTCCAAGTATACAACGGATTCTCATTTTTTCATCCAGTTTAAGAAAATATACTAAGTTTTGCATTTCTGGTCTCTTTTTGGATAATGTTTCAAAAATAATATTAAATAATAGGGTCTAAAATAGCGTAAAATTCATTCTAAAAGGGCCTAATTTTCAAAATTTTCCGGAGGAGGGCCCCCGGACCCCCCTTCTACTGGGAGCCCCCCAGACCCCCCTAGGGGCCCGCCCCATACTTAATTTAGGGCCAGTCCGCCCCTGCTAACCTGTATTCCTTGTCATGTTGCAGATCATGCAGTTCCGTGCGGAGGAGGAGTCTGAGTCGTCGGTGAGCGACACGAGGCGGGGCGAGAAGGGATCCGGGTTCCGGCACCACCGCCACGCGGCCATCCGCCGGAAAAAGCGCGAGCGGGAGCGGGCAGCGGGGCGGCGGAGCGGGCGCCACGCCCACGGCCACGCCCAGGAGGGGGCGGCAACGGGCGGTGCCGGCGGCTCCAAGGTCACAAGGCTCCGCCCCGGCCCGCCCACCGCTGCCCCCAAGCCCCGCCCACCGCTCACCAAGCAGATGTCGCGCCAGTCGCTCAACTCACGCAAGCGCCTCGCGAACATGCTCGTCGCTATGGTCGTCGTCTTCGTTACCTGCTGGTTCCCCTACGTCATTGTCAAGGTATACGTAATCACATAATGGAGATGTTGCATGTGTGAGGAACTTGCAATTTGACCCTCGATTCGTTTGTAAAAGTTTGCGAGAAACACGATGGTGCCACTGGCTTTCTCTGAGATTAACCCCCAAGCTCAAAAAAAGCTCTCAAGTTGAGGCTAAAATGGATGGGATGTCCCACGCTATCCTGAGAGTCCATCTCTACATCAAGACAAACTCTCCATGCAAAGATAGGGAGTAAATACATTGACAGGGCTGCCCCTTTATTTGGGGTCTCCAAAACTGAAAACATGGCAACCCTGCTAATGTATTTGCTCCCTATCTTTGCATGGAAAGTTTGTCTTGATGTAGAGGTGAACTCTCAGGATAGCGTGGGATATCCCCTCCATTTTGGCCTCAACTTAAGAGCTTTTTTTGAGCTTGGGAGTGGATTTCAGAAAAAAACCAGTGGCACCATCGTGTTTCTCGCGAACTTGTACATAAGAATCAACAGTCAAATCGCAAATCCCTCACATATGCAACATCTTCATTACATAATTCTAAAAAAACAACAAAAAAAAAACTGAATGGGTTATATGCTGGTCTTAGAATCGTGTTTTGTTGCTAGATTCCTTTTGATTAGCTTAAAATAACAAGATCCGTTCAAACAGCAACTCTCCAAGTCCAATATTGACCGGTATGTCGCGCTTTGAAAAATTCAGTTCATTATGTCATCCACCGCGGTAGTGACACCCTTGGTATCTTCCGCCTTCCTTCCATCAGTGAGGGAGACATATTGCACTGATTACTCAACGTGAAATTCGGATGAGAGCGAGGTGGAAGAAACCAAGGGTGGATACCCTACTGCACCACTGCCGCGGTGGATGAGGTCGTAAATAGATTTTTTCAAAGTGCAATATCTCGGTTGAGACTCCACGGTTAAAGTTACTGTTTGGATGGATCTTATTATTTTTAGGTAATCTACAAGAATCAGGCTTCAAAACACTATTCTGTGACCAGCGCAACTGACCAATTCGGTGAAATTTTCGAACAGTTATTTTTTATTCAAGATAAAATCTTCTTGACGGCATACTCAATAATGTTTCTACCTAAATCGAGACACTTCGTTCTCAAATAAAATTCAAATATTATGATAAATGTTTTTAATTACGGATGCTAGGACTTAGTGAGTTTTTGGACTACCGCTCTCTTTTTGTGCCCTAGTATCTTAATTTATTTTGCGAGGGAAGCTCCGTACTCTTAAAGGATGCCTGCCGTTCTTGATACGTTGGAGTGCCTTCAATCTCGTATGATATGATGCTGTGCAACACCTCTGTTGTGAAATAGTTGCTTGAGGCGCCGTGGCATGCATCGGCGAGGACGACCAGCGCGACACGCACATTGGCGCCTACAAACCTAACTGGGATACTTCACGCATTGCGCAATGCGTGAAGTATCCCAGTTAGGTTTGAAGGCGCCAGTGCGTGTGTTGCGCTGACAGCACGCCTTTCCGCTCTGCGTTGGCTGTAATATTGAAACTCGCAGAGTCAGCGTTTTTCAACTCATGATTTTGACATTTTTCCACACTCCGCACGGATTTTAATAGTCAAATACGTCCAATTTTGAGCGTTTGGTTGCGCGTACTCCACGCTGCAGCAAAGTAAAAGCACAAAATATAAAATAAACAATTAAAGTGCCTTGAAAATCACTAAATTTGACACGGAACCACCTTAACATTTACAAAACACACAGTATGTTTTTCTTTAAAACATCCCCCCCTTCAATATACCTAAATGAGATTAATCCATGCGGACTGTGCAGAAATTTCAAAATCATGAGTTGAAAAACGCTGACTCCACGACTTCAAGTATTGAAGCCAAACACAGAGCGAAGAGGTGTACTGCCGTGATAGCAAAGAGAGCCGTAAGTGCAAAATTTTCAAAGTCGAGTTTTCTTCAAAATCCGTCTAAACCCTTTTAGATGAAATTACTGAGACAGCTAAAACAGCAAAATTCATCCTAATTTAATGAAAACGAGACATATGAAAAAGCCGTAAGTGCACAAAAAATGACATAGTTTTCTTCAAGACAGCCGTAGGTGCATGAGAACCAATGAAAACAGTGCTTTCAAGAGGAATGCCGCCCTCATCTGCGGATATCTAACCTGAAAATGTGTTTGTTGTGTGTCCAACACGCTACCGCAAAAGCACGCAGAGGATAGCACTTACGGCTGTCTTACCTAACAATAACCTAGCATGAAAATGAAAAATACCCTTTTCACGTAATTGAAATAAAACCGGTCGATTTTTAATCATCCAAACGATTTCTAGGAATCTTTCGGACGATTAGTGGCAATTTGACGAAGGACGGAAGCTCCTTTCAATAAAATTTTCCGGTCAGAAGCTTCAGAGCCCGTTTTCTCAAAACTTCATCTTTGCACTTACGGTTCTCTTCGCTATCACGGCAGCGTAGCTGCCAGCGCGACACGCGCACTAGCGCCTACAAACCTAACAGGATACTTCTAGCATTACGCGATGCGTGAAGTATCGCATTAGATTTGTAGGCGCCAGTGCGCGTTACTTTCAAAACCACAACGGCTCATTAGAGTCCCTTTATACTGAGAGTCAAGACAATGTGAATCCATTTCTGATTGGTTCCCGTATTTTAGGCCTCCACGGAGTCACAAACGGGAATACAGATTACATTTTCACCGATTGCAAAGATTATAATCTAGAATGGACCAGGGAATTACTAGAGTACCTTTATAGACAGAGTATGGCCATTTCTGTTCCGGTTTTTCATTGGTCTTGAGCGAATAGGCTAACACGATGCTCTTAGGGCCGTAAATAAACAAACAAGATGGCCGTTATCAGCAAGCAAGATTGAGGTTATGCACATCTTACATCCTCCTGTGTTAAAGATGAAAGGCAATTTAACAATGCTTTTATGTGTTTTTCGTGTGCTATTCGTAGATATGCCCGTTTAAATTGTTACTGCCGCATAATTGAAATTTTTGTCAAATTTAGCTTCTCATCGATGTTGCGGCGAGCCGCCATCTTGTTTGTTTATTTACGGCACTAAGAGCATCATGAAGCCTAAAAACTCGTTGACCAATCAAAAAACGGAACAGTTTTCCTGTAGTAAAAAGATACGAATGGCCATACTCTGTCTATAAAGGTACTCTAGGAATTACGGGTTCGGCAAGGAGCAAACGGAATGAGAGATGGAACGGAGAAAGGAATTTGAGAATGGGCCGATCAAAGATTACAAAAAACGTTCAATTTGTGTAATCTTTATTCCCGTTTGTGACTCCATGAGGGGGTGTTGTCTTGACTCTCAGTATAAAGGGACTCTACGGCTCATTAATATTAATATCGATGCCTGGTATCGGGCTTGGATTGGCTAACAGGTCTGATAATTTTCAGGTCTCTTTGGAGTTCGACACGGAGATGGAAGAGCTTCTCCGTTCGGTGCTGCCGTTCTGCCTCCTCCTAGGCCACACCCACTCGACCATCAACCCGCTGGTCTACTGGTCGCTCAACCGGCAGTCGCTCCAGCTCAACGCCTCCTGCTACGACTGGCTCAAGCGAGGCAACCGCGACAGCTCCCACCAGGAGTCCAAGTTCTACTTCGCCAACCACCTCCGCTTCCTCTCGAACCACAACCCCGGGCGCCAGAAGCACCACCCCCCGCCCTCCTCCACCAACGAGGCCGCCCTCGGCGTCTTCCACCCCCGCTACACCGTGCCCAAGCCCCAGAACCGGCTCAACCAGAAACGGGAGTCTTCTGTCTATCTGGCTTGAGCCTTCCACCGGCCGCAGCGCACGGTGGATTGAGCGAATAGGAGAGGTTGGACAGAATTTGGAAACTTTAAACGCTTATAACTCCGTTAATACAAAACTTAAAGATTTTAAAAATGGTTCCGATGGTTTCCTCGTGAAATTTTCTTCAAAAAGCACCCCTTAAAATTTAAAATGTGACGAAATAAATATCAAAGGTTGCAGTTTTAGTCAAATATTCCATGTCCGAACTCTCTGATTGACGCGATCCACTGTGCAGCGGGCCGATCCTCGAATATCCATATCCACTCAAGTAGAATTTTACAACGGGAAAATCGCGGTATTTTGAAATTAATTTGCGATTTTTTTACAGTTTGTAGGTGATAACATCGCTGGGATCATCAATATCTGAGCGATTATCCTCGGTCTTGTCCAGATTTTATCTCTGTAAAGTCGCGTTCGACAAAATCGAAATTTTATTTCAATTTATCGCGATTTTTTTCGATGATATTCCGATAAATTGACGGCGATAACACTGGAAAAAAGACACATTGGATCTAGAGTCCAGACTCTTAAAAACATCGACGAGAAATAATACTCCTGATTCAATCAGATTTAAGCTTAAATCAAGAACCAAGCCTCTTAATTTAAGCGGATTTCCTTTTGATTCAAGCAAAAATTCGATTGAATCAAGAGTATTTTTTCTTGTCAATGTTTTCAAGAGTCTGGACTCTAGATCCAATGTGGGTTTTTTTCCAGTGAAAATCGCGATTTCATTGCAAATTTATGCGATGAAATCGCATTACTCAAGTAGCGATTTTCAAAGAAAAAATCGCGATATTTTGAAATTAAGTTGCGATTTTTTTAAAATTCGTTGGCGATAACATCGCTAGGATCAACATCTGAGCGATTATCCACGATCTTGTCCCAATTTTATCTCTATAAAATCGCGTTCGATAAATCTAATTTTTTCTCGATTGGATCGCGTTCAGCGAAAGGAACCAAGCCACGTCAGCTACTGCCAACTTTAATCGGACAATTTAATTATTTACGTGAGAACGGTTGTGCGGAGTTCTATGCACATTTTAGTGAATTTTCTGCATAGTGCAAAGGGAATTCTTGAAAATTCTCAAAGGTATCCGCACAAACGTTTTTTTGTCTTGTAAAAAATTAAATTGCCCAGTTAAATTTGGCAATAGCTGATGTGGTTTGGCTCCTTTCTGTTTGACGCGGTCCAATTAAGTTGCGATGTTTTACGATTTGTTGGCGATAAAATCGCTAGGATCATATATATCTGAGCGATTACCCTCGATCTTGTCGTTTCATCTCTGAAAAGTTCGTGTTCAATAAAATCGAAATTTTATCTCAATTTATCGCGACTTTTTTTTGATAATATTGCGAAAAATCGTCGTCGATAAAATCGCGATTTTATTGTAAATTCATGCGATGAAATCGCAATTTATCATAATTTTGTGTCCGATAATATTGCAATAAATCGACGACGAGAAAATAATGTGTACTTCACGGTTGTTTTTAATTCGCCTTTTGCTGCGTCCGCGGCAATTGTTGTTACGAATATGTTGTGCATGCTGATCTCAGCTCATCGCATACTTGACTCTCTGAAGGCGTTTAATATGCGAAAGGAGAGCACCCTGTTAGAGAACAACAGAAGAGAGATTGAATGATTCACTCAATCCCTAGGTACTTCGTTCATTCTCCAACAGATTGCGCTACTTTAAAACGCCTTCAAATAGTTAAGTATGTAATTAGCAAAAATCAGCGTGCACAACACATTCATAACAACAATTGCTGCAAACGCATTTGAAGGCGAATTGCTTTCGCACATAAAACGCCTTCAGAGAGTCGAATATGTAATGAGTTGAAATCAGCACGCACAACACATTCGTAACAACAATTGCTGCAGATGCAGTTGAAGGCGAATTATTCAACTTAAAAAAAGTGTATGCTAGGCAGTCTGCATGTAATGAAAGGGTATGTATTCGATCGACATGAATCGAACGAAAAATAAAAACTTGAACCGATCAACACCGATTCAATGGACAAATAAATAAAAAAACACATCAAAATCAGTAGAAAACTTGCATGTACCATGACAATTTCATACAAGGATTTCAAAATTAGGATCAGACAAGATTTTGATTTTTCGCGATTTTAAGTCCACACGTACCATAGACTCACCCTTTGCAAACCGATTTTGGATACATTTTTGTCACATTTTGTTTTTTGCTTCAAGACCACAGTGCATTAATAAAAAGCGGTAGAGAGGTCTACAGTGGATTTAGAGTGCAATGTGAAGAAAGGAGAGGCTGTAAATGACCGCAATGCAATACATCAATGCAATCATTTGATAATTTTCTTTAGACCTGAAGAAATTAGGTAGCGACCGACTCATGGAAAAAATCAGAGAAAATAACCCGATTATCTCTTATGTTGCTTTCTTTTGAAAGAGGTGAGATTACAATAAGTGTCATGGTAGGTGCAGGAAAAACTTATGAATGATCATTTGAAATTTGTAAATAGTTCTGTACTTTGAATTAGTGAGAGATGGTGACAATTTTTATCTTATTTTAACAAACATGGCAAAATCTTATTTTTGACCTCCATGAGTCTATTTGAAGGCAGAAGCAATTTATGACAAAATTTAATGTACCTAAGTTTGTAAGTACTTATTGAAGAAAAACTTTTGGTAGCCGTTCTTACTGAAAAAGAGAAAGAGAGCTATTGCTTTCTCTAGCCTTCTCAATGTCTTACCCACTTAAGTCAAGTAGTTAATTAATCACTTTATGACTGAGTGAGTGTCTACTTGAAACTTCTCACATGTCAGTTGGAGAAAATCAAAGTAAAATTCTACTCACTGTTCTGAATTTATAGGTACAAATTTGAGCAGGAAAAATACAGGAGAGACTCGAAAGAAAGAAAAGAAGAAAAAATAATCTATGAAAAATGCTTCTGGCTGGTAAAATGCACGAGTGCTTATTATTCCGTTGAAAATATGTAACAAGATGATATGTTGCTGGGTCGACACTGTTCTGCAGGAAAACAAGGTCAAATAGTTCCAAAAATGTACATATATTTAAGGAAAATAATTAAATGATCAAACTTCCATTTTAATGGGAATTTTTGGAACTTTATGGCCTTGTTTGCCCTGCAGAATATTGTGGAGTCAGCTCTATTATTCTATCGCCTTGTTACTTAAGTTCTGGTTACATTTTTAGCGTTTGTACCTGTTAAGGATAAGTCAAGTACAAGGTCTACTTTGGGAGTGATATTTTAAGTAGGTATGAAGAAGAAAACCTTGTCCGATTGTCTTTCATATTTTGACATGAGGGCTATGTCTGACCTGATTGTTTGTGAGTCACAGTCACTAGACCTCAGAACTCTCTGGTCAAAATGAGACATGCTTCTCGACCAATCAAAAACTATGGTCTCCACACTGGTGATTAACCGAGTATTAATAATCAATGAGCCCAGAAGTTCGATCTAAAATCGATCAACCGAAAACCAGCATATCTAAAATTTATTTATTGAAGGGTCTTTCAATGTATTCTCCTTCTTCTGATGTGAAATAAGTAGATATTAAATGTATTTATTTTGTAGACATCAATTTTTAGTACATCGATTTTCAATGAACTGATGTCCTCAATGAGCCGATTTTCTATTTACCTAAAACTGAAACTAACAATCTCATGAGGTCATGAAAATCAATTCAGTGGTCACTGAACTTACAGGTGTTTTTGTTTTATATTTACCTACAACACTTATAGATGATCAATAATCATGGGCTAACCTATTTTGCCTGAATCAAAATTTATAAGTATTAAGACTTTGTATGTAAGATTTACTGCCACGATCGTTGAAATATTGTGGATTCTAGATGGAGAGTAAGCAAGTTATAGTCACCCTAAATTGGCTTGACAATAATGATCTCTCACATTTACAAGCAAAGAATACCTCAACATTTGAAAAAGCACTAGATACTTGGAAAATTTCTAGATAAAACTCGCCCGGAACGATTAGATTAAATCACTAGTTATTTTTGCACTTGACTTTATTTTTTTGGGAGTTGATGGTTGTGCATAACAATGACTAGCTACAGGGTTGCCAGTATGGATGGTCTGATTAGTCGATTTTACATCGGTTGGTTCTGGCAATCTTGACTGCGAGTGCATCATTTTTTCGCTACACCCCTTTTTGGCAGCGAAAGATTATTAAGATGTGTAAAATATCAGAAAATCATGTACATAGATGAAAATATTGTTCCTTAGCAACTTGTAAAGTAATTGATAAAAAGTCACTCACAGACCTGTCAAAATTTTGGAAACAATATGGCAGCGGAGGTTCATTAGCTTCCCCTAGAGGTTGTTTCAAAAAATGGTCTGATCTTGACATCTTGACAATTATTTTGCAGGTCATTCTAATTTTTCTATATCTTGCAGTAATTTTATAATCAAATATATATATATATGGACCCATACTCCATTTCTACTCATTTTACAATCCTGTGCTAAAAAAGGATTATTCAAACAAATGGAGACTTCTCTTCCATAAGAAAACAGTGAGTTAACTTCATGGACTGTTACGGGTGACCGAGAAGAAAAAAATATCGAAGAGAAGGAAGTGATAGGCAATCAGTAATTTTGAGTTGACGCGATTCTTAAACCAATTATTGGAGGAAGATTTTTTAGCTTTCAAAGGTGAGGAACCTGCGCCGAATACAAGCTTGATATGGAGTTTTTTAAGATCTCCTGAGCATGTTGAGCTTTTAGAATTGAACTTCCTAAGCACTATGGTCGAGATAAGCAGGCTTGAAAAGTGAATATTTCCCCACTCAAAAACGCTTATTCTTAGTAAGATGTGAGGTAGAACTGTCACAGTGAGTATTTAGACGCTGTGCCGCTCGTTGTTATCATCCGCAGGTATTGGATTCTCTTGGTCCGTCTTATTTTCCCATCCATCAAGGAAACAAAAGCTTTACTCAATTTTTATCAGATGTTGCAACGTTTCATCTGGGTGATAATACTTTGGAAAATGCTGAACAATTCACCCGCTTTCCTCGAAATTGGCACATAGGAAGTTCAATTTTAAAAGCTCATTGTGCTCGGGAAGTCCTAAAGGACAATTCACACCAAGTAATGACGGAATTTAGCCAACGCTGCATTTTTGGCTTTCTGTGCAGGATCCTTTCCACCTTGCTCCTTTACTTTTTTGTCACTTTGTATCTTCAATTTTAATCTTCTACGGTATCTTCTTGTGATCACAGACTATATAGGTTCTCTAAACTTCATTACTTAGCTAGCTTGTATATGATTTTCATCAGAATAAAGTTTATTTTCATTTGTTAACACTATTAATTGTATATCTTTTCTACTTTTTGTGTTTTGTTATTGTTTATTGAGATGTTCTATCAGCTGTAGTTGAGTTGAATCATGAAATGATGACTTGTAATAAAAAAGGGGGTAATTGCCGAAGAAATCGAAGATTAAGTTAGATGTGGCATTCTGTTCTAACCACCTATGACTGCATGCTGCGTGACAGGCTAAGAGCCACCAACAAGAGTGGGGCGTATTTGTCTGAAGGATATCATCAGAGGTATAGGCTACAGAAATGAGCCTCTAAACAAGATATGAACTAAAGCACTTCGCAGTACTTTCTGCGAAATTTTAGAATTACACAACGGAAAGTCCCGGTGTGAATGCCTAAACAAAATATAAGTGTGTATAATTCACATTAATTTGGTCAAATGGCAAAAATAAAAATGACATCATTCGTATAGTCTAATTTTCATTTCATCTAATGTTAAAAATACTTGTTGATATCTTGTTCAGGAGTTGTTTTCCGAGCATACCATTGTGTGACTTGTTTTATGAGTAAAATTTTGAAGTGAAAACATGTGAAGTTCTTTTCTAGGTCACACCTTATCTAGTGGCCCATTGTCAGAAAAAAAATCAACTTTTGGGCACTTGGCCTGTTATTGACGATACAGTGGAGGCATTGAAAAATAGTTGTTTGCTTTGAAAGACAAAGAGTCTCTTAAGGATTAAAACATCTATTCGTAAGTAACTGTTAACTTGAAGGTGACACTGGTCAATCAAAAATGATTCCTCAAGATATTATAAAGTTGAAATGAGACCGTAGTGGTGGTAAATTGTAGTATTATCGTGTGTCCACCTCTGTGATCAGTGATATCCTCTTCACTAAGATAGGGCTGAGAACGTAAGCTTGTAGGATTGTCATGAGTGTGGACAGTGCATCACCATCTCAAAAGTATGAGTCCCATTACATTGTAAAATCGTCACCTTCCAGGCAAAGTATCACAAGCGCCATGCGACGTTTAAAAATTTCCGCCGCCATTTTATTTTTTTACAGAGAAATTGTTCAACGAAGCTGTCCGAAAATTTCACTGAATTTTCTTTGTGCTGCCAATAAAATTTAGTGAAATTTCCAAACAGATTCAACCAACAATTTCTCAGTAAAGAAATAAAATGGCAGCGGAAATTTTTAAACGTCGCATGGCGCTTGTGATACTTTGCCTGGAAGGTGACAAAATGACGATCAGGCTCATGTTTCCAGTCTTTATATGAGGAATTCAAAGTTTTACCCAACTTTTGTTGTTGCTGGTGTTGCCAATTCCAATTTTTTTTCATGGAAGAATGAGTTTAAATTTTACTTGAAAAGCTCTGGGAGACTTTCATCCATTATAGTTTTCATTTCAGAAGGTGATTCATTTAAGTTTATATTATTTCTGGTTATTATAATTGAACGGAGAAGCGTTCTCCATCAGGTTGAGTTACGATTAAGAAACGACCAATAAAAACGAGCAACCCTCGACTGAACTTTGATATTTTTTACCTCTTGTACTCTCTTTTCGTTTCTATCAAATGCAATGTTTTCAAAGTGTTTTTATTTCGATGTTGCTATCGCGCAACAGTGCCTCACTGATCAAGAGTAGACTGTCTACGACAAACTGATTTAGTCACTTTGCCTCAGGTCCTTCTTGAAAAAAGTTGATGCTGACAAGAGAAATCATTAAAGATTCAGAAACTTCCTCGGACCGCGTTTCTTGAAAAGGAAGCAAATGCAATAAACATTAGTAAAATCACTTATTTGTACAGAGAAAAAGACATTTTGGACATATCGTGTCCTAATTTAAGCCCAAAAAAGTAGGTTTTTTTTTATAAATGCTTTTCACTTTACCTAATATTAAATACATTTCAAACTTGCGCTCGATACTCACTCATTATAAACTGAGATCACAGTTTTTAATTTTTTCTACAGAGATTTTTTTTGTCTTGTTTTGTCTAACTCTATGATTTTTTCGTGACAAGAAGAACATCTTATCATTCTGGCGGTCACATAGTTACAAATATTGTTCTCTTCCTCTTTACAGAAAGATTCTTTGATTCAATGAGTCACTGCTGCAGTGTTGCCAACCTGATTTAGTTACAAATTAAGATTAATTATCTATGTTCTATTTGATGTACCTTCTAATATATTGATGTACCTAATTATTTTTCTATGATCTCAAGTCTTTATTTTTTAAAGAAATCGAAAAAAAATATATTTCTGTTTCCTCTAATTTTTTTTTTTCAAATTATTTCATGTAAAAAAATTGTTTTCATATATTTTCTTGTGGATAAAAGATTTTGGTTTGTATTAGCTGACAGTCTTATCTGGGGGTTAGATGATAAAATAAGAAGGCTCTCTGAAATATTGTTCTAAATTTGTTTTTTTGTTTTTTTCATTATAAAGATACAAGAATTCAAGAAGCTCAATTGAATATTTATTCAAGACCTTTACAGTATGTTCTCCAACAAAGATGTTTTTGACCTTTTTTTACTGTAAAAATTTTATCTTTTTTCGCCATTAATAAATATGTGAGGACTGTTAAAACAGTTTTGATTTTCATTTTTGTTGCCTGTTATTGACGGATTCAGCAATCCAACATTCTGAGAATTAAAATCTTTGTTCCACTTATTTTACTGCCTTGTTACTACGAATCTCACATTAGAAACACAAAACAGCTTTCCACCGCCTCCATTCAAAGAAGAAAAAAAAAATTTGCCAGAGTGCTTCAGCCTTTTGAACAGCTCGAGGAGTGTAAAATACACACTTCTAATAGAAAAAATTTGAAAAACAGTTAAAATACATTTCATGTATATCTATTTAAAGAAATAGGGGAAATGGGTACCGAAATACAGCCTAGATTAACTTCTAGTTTTTTTTACGGACTACCCTACAGAGGATCATTACCATTTTGTTTTCACTGTCATGGCTGCGATTCACAATTCAAAAGATTAATATTACATGAAAAAATTCCTCTAATTTCATGATGAAACAAAGCAAAACGGTATGATGAAATCAAAAATAGAACTCACGATTGCTTTAACGTCGGATAACATTTTTATGAAGGCAATAACAAACATAGCGTTTGTCTCCTGTTTAACAGGTTAAGTTTTATGAATTGAGTTTCTTAAAAGTTCTGCCTCATTGTAGAGTGTATGTCTTATTTACTCGGTCTGCTTGTCAAACTTGAAATGACTGACGAAGTTCACTGATATCAGAAGCAGAGCACGTCTCCTTTGCTTGACAGTAATTAACCAAATCTCGCAGCACTGTGAACAAAAAACATTTCATTGTTAAAATCGTGACTACAAAATTAGCTGATTTCACAATCAGGTATGGCTATAGATTTAAAGATGGTCGCAAACTGAAGAAGAGTTACATCAAATTTATCATTGGCACAGAGTTCAACAGAAGCACATCAAGTCCCGTCAAGTTGAAATGGAGAAAAATACGTTTGAAGTTTTACGCCTCCGCAGGACTCGATGTTAAGGACAAATTTTTAACTATTTTTAAGTTTAAAATATTTTTTTACACAAAGAATTCATATCTTCTTTTGCGTGAAAACATTCAGTTTTAAGAGATTTATCTTGCCTGATGAAAGAATTCAAAAAGTCTAATGTGTCAATTTGACAGGTTTTAGAATCATTTGACAAATTAACCTTCACACTAGAAAAGAAAAAAATTATATCTGGACATTAAGTTTCTACGCCCAATATCAATTGAGCTATCACACCTAGAAAAACACACTAGTTATGGAAAACCATCATATATCAATTCTTTTTTTAGGAAAAGACCTTACCTGTTTTATCAGTTTCAGATAAAAATAAAACCAAGGCACGAAAACGTTGAACTCGGGTTAGTCCAAACAAAAATGGTGAAATTTTTTCATTCCTTGCAACGAACTCACTTTGTAGCACAGCAATTATTTCACTCAAAACGCTATTCTCGAGTGAATTACCGAAAATGATAGGCAATTTTTCTCCACTGATTCTCTGGAACGAGTAAATTCAAAAATGAAATATGATTATCAAGTACAATGGATCTGTTGCATGCAAGATAAAACAGTAAACTGAGAAATCTCATCAAAATTATGACCAAAATACGATCAAAAGCTGCTAAATAGTGCGGTACGTATTCTGCGTTTTAAAATTTACGCAATTCGCAGGCACTTTTTCCTTAATCGCTACTAATAAGGTATGTCCGGGGGAATATGTGAGTTAGATTTCCTAACTGAAACAAACGAAAATTTTGAAAAATGTATAAATCAATTTCTTGTAAAATTTAAATCAATTCAAAACATTTGAAATCACCTTTTTAAAATTTAGAGCAGGAGATACAAAATGCTTTAAAATTATGAGAATCAAACACTAGGAAGTTTAATCACAATATGCAAAAGTCTTGATACATGCAATTAAATTTTCTTTCTTCTCTCAGGCAACAAATCTGATAACCGGCAACAATTAAAAAAATGTGCACTGAGAACTACATGAAATGAGTGTTTTGAAGTGTATTTTAAACATTCCTGATGTGCTCAACATAATTCTTGCATGATTAAACCTGTAGAAGGTATGCATCGTTAGCCATATCTCTTGCGTCCAATAGACTTGTCGTCAAAGACCAACATTAGAGTTTCTAGCACATCTCTAAAATTCTGATTTTTATCAGTTTTTTGCATTACAATACACAAAATTTTCATTTCACTGCAAACAGTCAGATGTAAGATTGAATACTGATGGCTGCTTGCCTCAAATTTCCACCATACAGAAGAGATAAGTAGTAAGTGCACATTTTTCGCATTTAGCCATCTATACCTGGCGCTGAAATGAACTTCATATCTTATCTTTCTAAAACTGAAAAACCAATTAAAGTTTTTTTTTTTTTTTTGGAATACATACAAATACATACCTTTAGGTATAAATAACGTTTCTCAGGTTCATTCTGCATCAAGCTCCAAGAATTTGAGAAACCAACATATGAAATCGGGATCCTAGGAATGTCAATATTTTCTGGTATTTGGACACTGTCCATTTCTGCAACCTTAGTTTCAGCTTTTACTACAGGTTGATTCTCCTTAAATTTTGGTGAGGTAGTTTTGGGTTCCTCCATCAGTTCAGCCTTGACAGAGGTTTGACTTAAGCCAGAGGTATCTGCTTTGATCTCTTGAATTTTTTCTGACTCAACTGATTTATGCGCCTACAAGAGGAATGCCAAAGTAGTTAATCAACCAAGAGATAAATCTTAAAACTCTAATGATTAAAATGGAGCTCAAGGAAATGTTTTTTATTAACTTATTAGACCCTACTTGACAGCATGACAGAAACTCCACTGTTTACATTTTCTGATAATCAATATATAGCTGGCCTTTCTGTGTAACTTGAAAAGTTAGCAAACCTATACCATCCATAATCTTTGAATCATATTTCACTCAGGAAGCTAAAAGCACTCTTCAATTAAAAAATATGGGAATTAAAAACCACTCAAAACGCTCATAATGCAAAAAGAAAAGTTTGAAAGGAAACTTGAGTCTTTTCCATTTTACCCTTGATTATACCTAGTTTCTCGGGTTTCTCAACCTTACAGACGTCTTCAGAAGTAGATCAACTGTGATCATAATTGAATCGGTTTCTGTTAGACAGGCGTAAGCCCAAAAACTCATGAGCCCTGGCTTTCGTTGATCACGGAGGATACTGGAGCTCATGAGTTAATGGACGTATCCCCATCTAACAGAAACCGATTCAATTGAGGTGCTAAATGTGGAAAGATTACAATGTTCCAGAATCAATATTAATATTTCATCCATTGTAAGGGAAATGAATGCATTTATTTCATTGAAATTTTAACATTCTAATTTAACCAATCTTCTTCATGATTCTACAATAATCTACAAAAAAACTTCTGGAAAAATCACCCATTAAATTTTTTTTGAGACTCAAATTGGTGACAGAGATTCTAAAACACCGCATCCAAGGAGTGCTCTACTCGCACCAGCGTCTCAATTTCTCCTCAAGAATACAGAATAGTATGAATTACTGCTGAATTTGTCCCTTTAATTCCAAAGTAGAAAGTTTCTAATGAACTCTTCAGCGAGAGGATATTTATGAGATTTCATATAAGCGCTAATAAGTAACTTACAGAGAACTATGAGGGGAAAAGAATGACTTACAGATGAATTAGAATCAGATATCGAAACTATGGCTTGTTTTTCCTTGCTCGGAAGCAAATTCTTTCCATTTGTTTTAAGAGGAGATTCGTAGTCACAATAAACTTCTTCTATTTTAACACGTTTTAGAGGCTTCTGAAAAAGAAGATAAATACATAGCTTAGACATAGAAAAAAAAACAAAAAAAAACCTGACAACGAGACTTACATTAGTTTCTACTTTGTAGTTTATTCATTCTTCCTGTTTTCAGTATCTGTGCAGTGGTTTCAATCCCAGAAAATATTTTGAAGATGAGTTGAAAGTTATACTTTTAGACAGCATCTTTCAATCAAAGTATCTTTGAACAGTTGATAAGATATTTTTTTGGCACCAAAATCAAAGTCTTAAGAAAAACAAAAAAAAGTGTGCGATTTGACGTGAGTTCACTTTTTTGAACCCAGTTCCAACATGTTTTCTTTAGACTCCTACATTTTTTAAGCTCATAAGATTAAACTCACACCAAAAGACAATTTTACCGTGAAAAATAATTTAGATGGCAACACTGAACATTCCTCTACCTCTGTATCAATTATGAGACTGCAAAAACGTGTACCTCGTTTAGCGATGCTGCAAAATTCCAGTTATTTTTTCAATAGAAAAATATAGCATGAAACTTACAGTTGACTGAAGATGAGCAGGTCTCATTACAGTTTCCATTAATACTCTAGGATCATTCTCTTCGGATTTCCATGTTCTGATCACTAATGCTTCCTCCTTGTTTCCTTCAAGTATCTTGCTTCCTGATGGGGTCATCGCGGTGACTTTACTGCCTTCAGTGCAAAGCATTTTCTCTTTGACAGAGCCACAGCTTGGAGGCTTCACTTTGATTTCAGATGAAATGTTTGAGGTACAATTCTGAAATTAAAACCAAGGTTTTGAAGGATTAAAAAGAATTGTTAGAAAGCAAATCATTCAAAGAGATGATATTTCAGTGGAGTGTAAATGGATGATTACACATTGACTGAAACAAAGTTGCTGATGGAAAAATATGGTATTTACTGTTATGAATATGAGGCCATACCTGGCACAGTGGCAGCTGTTGATATTTGCCATATCGACAGTGTAAGTCGGCAATCACATGACTCGGTTTGCGACGTCGCAGACTTCCTGTCATACTTTATTTTTTAAACAGAAAACTACTCAACGGCAATTCATTAAAACAGCCATGATTTTTCTTCTCTGTGCGAAGAAAATTCTGCAAAAACTTCAAGGAATGATGTGAATTTGTTCTCCTTTAAAAACATGACATAGAGGCGGAGATTTTCACACACCGCAAACGAGATATGTGATTGCCAACTTATACCGTCGATATGTGCTTAAAAATAACTTTGAAGTCAATTGTTCCTCATTCTTGCAGTCTTTAATCTCATTCGGACTGTAATAACCAAGAAAAAAGCCTTTTACAGGTGGTCTGGATCACCCTGTACATTAATTCTGAAAGGAGTCAGAAGTAGAAGTTTCTTATTTTAAAATACAGCCCAATTCACAAAATGAGAGAGAGAGAGAGAGAAAATGTAAAGGAAGACAACCCAGAAAACGCAGACAAAATCAACATACTTGACTAGTTATTTTTTTCTGAACAGATGCCAAACCATCTTTCACCGAGCGGTTGTTAGGTTCAAACTTGAGGACAGTCCGGAAATCCTTTTGTGCTAACTCATATTTTCCTTGGTTTTCAAAAGCCGCTGCTCTCCGCAAGTATGCTTTTACGTACTGATCATTATGCGTTAAAGCTGTATCACAATCACATTGTGCATCTTTGTACCTAAAAACCAGATAAAGTATTGGACGTTAGTTCTCTGTTCTACAATTGATTGATGAATTTCTGGCTTAAATCTAAAAACACAACAGTCCCTCAAAGCAAATGGTATTATTGAATTTAATTAGGGCAGTTCAAGGTTCTTTTTGACTAGTTTGTAGATAGAGTTGGTATATTGGTAGAGGTAGAGTAGGGCTTAAGTAAAAGTATTATGAGGGGAGTGAATAAAATAAGAGGAAAAACTCACGGTGTGACATTTTACTTCCTGATTGCTCTGAACTTCTTCAAATATCTGTTGTGGTTTTGCATGGGTTTGATGATATGATAAAATCAGTGGGGTACATTTTATCGGACTTGAGTTTTATTTATAAGTTTCATGTTTACGATTACCTAGTTATCCTCATGACGATCTTGTTTCTCACAGTCATTTTTAATGAATAATCCTCAAAGCATTCTAAAATTCATTTGATCTATGATGACTCATTTAGTAATAGAGGACCCATTAAAAAAAGTCACTTCCCTGCTTCAGGCTATGTTGACGCACAAAACTCAAATGTTAAACTGCACTACATTTTATGGTAAGGAGCTACTATTTTTGGCTCAAACATAATAACACCTATCTTCACAGAGGAACTAATAATGGCAAATACATTTTTCCTAGAATGAGTTAGAGAAAGAACTTCCATGTTGCAAAATGTGATCCAACTATGAAGAATAAGGTTTGAAAATACCTTTTCCTCCCTACAATGATGAAAAAACTATGTCGCTAGGAACAGGAGGAATATGTGACTTACCGCTGAAGTTTCAAATAACAAAGAGCGCGGTTGGCATAGAAAACAGAGTCTACAGGGTAGAGATTAATTGCATTGGAATACATTCTGATCGCCTCATTCCATTCTCCCGCCGTGACAAATTCATTGCCCTGAGGACAGAGAAGAAACATTCTCATTAAAAGACAAATAAGATGATTATTGGAAAGGTTTTAATAAGGAACAATTATTTTCATTCTGCAAATAGTTCAAACTTTAATATAATTGAAAAATAGGGTTCTATCCCAAAAGAAAAAAAAGAAAAAAAAATTGGCATATTTTGTGTAATTTTAGCTATATTTGTCGTTTTTTTCGAATTTTGAGGTCGTACTTCTGTTGTCATGAGACTAAGGAATTCATGTACCAAATTTGACAAAAAAATTCACCGTATTAGAGACAGGGTTTTTTCAGAGGAAAAATATCGCATTCAAGTACAGTTTCGATACTGGCATTGAATGTGATATTTTCTCTCGAAAAAAAAACGCTCCTATAGGTATTACTTTGAATTTCTTTGTCAAATTTGGTACATGAATTCTTCAGTCTCATGACAACAGAAGTGCGATCTCAAAATTCGAAAAAAATGACAAGAAGCTGAAATTATGGAGTGAATTGATGCGATATATCGCACGTCGCTCTGACACAAAAAATGGCAACCGTCGAATCTTATCTTGTTTAAAAGTTGATTTCTGGACTTCTCGTTGAGTAATTCTTTTCCCTCGTGAAATTCTGAAGAGAAAATATGTACGTAGTCCTTTTATTCATTCTTCCTCTAGAGGGCCATTGTTAGATTATAGAATAACTTACCAGTTCTTTATAGTAGTTAGCCCGGATTTGAATCTCATGCTTTGATTTGCCTTTCCAATGAGCATCTTCAAAGGATTCACTGTCCTTGATTGGTGGTTGGTTCTCATACTCGGGTTTTGACCGCCAACTGACCGATTTGGAATTCTTTTCTTGGCTTTTTCCACTATTGGATGAAATTTCACTTTTTGTTGAGCTTGCGTTGGTTGGAGTAACTGGGCTTTTTGCCGGTACACTCTTGCTTCCACTTTTCTTCTGAACTTTGGTTTTCTTGCCCTCCTCTCCCGAGTCTTCAGAATCACTGTCAAGGTCTTTGCACAGCTTGTCCTGTAGATAAGAGAGATTTGCTCATGAAAATACGTGTTTATACAAATAGATTGCAGTTTGCAAAAAGGAACCAAGAGCATTCTAATGTTGCTAAGATTGTGTAACTTACATTCTTTCAATATAAAAACTGAAATCATGCAAACAATTTTTGCGAGGGTCATTTTTGTCTTGAAGTTATAGTTTATTGGTAGTAAAAGATAAAATTAGTTCGGATAATCTGTTTATATTTGCAAGGCAAACGAAGTTGCACAATCTTAGCGACATGGAAATGCTCTTGGTTCCTTCTGGCAAAATTTAATCCAAAAAAAAGTACTAGCACAAAGTTTCCCTCGTTCTTTTTCTTTGCTTTGAGTACCTCAAAATGGAACTAAGGAATTTGTCATGCTGAACGCCTGGTTTCAACTATCTTGAAAGAACTGATTAGGTATGATTAAATCTACTCATTACAGAACCCGGTGAAAAAGGGAAACCATTCTCACTGGAAACATTTTCCAGAGTTCCCTTGGATTTGTAATGATGGATACATAGAAATGGATCTGCTCATAGCAGAAACTGTCTATAGACAGAAAAATTGCTCCGCCCTGTGGGACTTCGGTATGACCCGGTGCTACTGCGTATAATTTCAGTGCATTCGGTAACTTCCTCTTTTTTGGTACAAAATGACACAGTAAAAGGAATCAATTCAGGATTGCAGTAGAATTTCGAAAAAAATGTATGAAATTTCAGAAAAACTCTCTGACATTTCATCTCTCCTCTGATGTGGAGACACATCTCAATTTTCACGGGAGCCCAGTTTCCAATGATATCTATAAGACAAATTTTCCAGTTTGAATTCCTCAAGACATCCTATAAATTACTGAAGCCTTTTGATAGCTTGCATGACTTGACACCATACTAACGATTGATAAACCATATACATAGTTTTTTTAATGTTATGTATTTGATTTAGATTTTAAAAGTTATTAGCTGTGTAAAGTGATAAAACAGAAAAATATTCCGATCATCCCAAAAATTAATTTTCGTATCTTAGACATTTTAAAGTATTCTCAGAGAGTAGTAAAGGGAGGAAGATGAATACATAAATCAAGATTTCAACCAATGGACACATACATATTGATGGCTGAAAACCAAAATCACATATCTCCATTGCAGTATTTCAATGTCTCTTTCATTTTTTGGGAACAGTAACAAGTCAACTAAACGGCTCGAAATTCATACGGAAAATTTTGCTAATAGGTAGAGAAAAAAAAATCAAGGAAGTTCTCAGAAAATTAAGTTGACTACTTTTCCGACGAAAAAATAAAGTAGGACAAGATGTCTGCAACGTTGCAAACGAAGATGTGTGGTTTCGCGATTTGGCCATTGATATAAAGCCATAATATACCAGTCCTTTGGTGGCAGCACTTCTCAAGCTAGAGGGAAAGCTTTAAAAAGGATTCAAAGGTAGGGATTCCAACTGTTTTGAGATGACAACCTTCTTGGCATAATTTTCTATCAAACAGGCCACTAGATACGACCTGACTGTAAAATCTCAAGTAGAAGCTTTTCACACAACAAGAATTCTGGAGATCAACTTCTGAACAAGATATTAACACTCACTTATAACACAAAATGACATCACTTGTATTTTTTCAATTTAACCAGTGTTAATTGGACGGCACTCAGCAGAAAAGAACCAAATATGCTATTACAGTGTTTTCAAGACCATACATATTTCCTCTGACAACTTTCCAAATGTAGAGAAATTTTTTTTATCCTCCGAAAGATAGTTAGATTTAAGGGAAACAAAAAGTTTCATTATATATTATACATGTATTCGGTTATCTTTACAGCAAAGAAAAGTTTTCATGATTTCGAATATACTGCAGTGAACTTGGTTCCTGTTTGCTGAACGCTGTCCAATTGTGAAGAACTTAATCTTGTTAAGGACAGACTTCGCATTGTACGATTCATTTTTTTTGTTCAGTTTTGAAAAGAAATTATGTAGCATAGTGCATTAATTCATACCATTTCTAGAGCCTCATTCTGATAAACTGCTCCTTAAATCATTAAACCTACTTCAAATTAACATAAAAAAAAATAAATAACATGGAATATTAAAGAGGAATCACGACTAAGAGGTTTACTAAATGGGTATAAATAAATTTATTAAGTAATTTAGAATTACAAACATTGTCATTAATAATAATAATTAACATTATTAACAGTGATAAAAACTTAAAATAAAAAACAGTAAGCTCATTTCAGACCCTAACAAAGTAGCTAAGCTGGGTTCAAATACTTCAGTTATTCCAACTTCTTCCTCAAAATATCTAGCTCTAGCGCTTCTTTCGCCCGCTCAAATTTTTCCTTTTCTAACAGACTTTCGATCTTTTTACTCTCGAGCTCCACGTGTTTCTCTTTGAGCTCTATTTCTTTTTTGGCGAGCTCAACTCGGCACCTCATTTCTTCCAGTCTGAGCGCGGTCATATCTTTTTCGTGCTGCCTTCTCATTTCATCCATTTCTTCTTGGATTTTTGATCTCCTCTCTGCTTCGGAGGGTGATGTGGCGGGAGGTTTTTTGTCGTAGGGACTGTCCATCGGATTGGCACCTGCATCAAAAGATTTAAAAAATTAAGTACTTGCAAAAATTCAAAGGAAACTTGGAGTAATGGTCCTCGTTGGTTTTCACCATAAAAAAATGAATAAATAGGGAAATCCTGCCATTCAGTTGTTTTTCCTCCTTTCTTTCTCTCTCTTGCTAACAAGTGCCCATTCAGCCTACATTTTTATGGAAAGTGTCTGCAAGTTACCGCTCATGGGTATTCACTTTTTCATCTTTTGACAACTATTTAAGGTTAAATAGAAATTGACTCAGACCTTTTAAATTTTTCCTTCTTTCTTTTTTAAAAGGTAAATCTACACATACCATAGAAAACCATCATTATGATGTCAAACAAATTACGGCAAATGAATAGCATTGTCAAACTGAAAGACAAACAGAGAAAGTACGTTTAACAGCATTCAACAGCTATCTGTTTTTAAACTATCTGTGTTAAGATCCCTTGATAGAGGGCCAAGGCCATCAAATGAAAATTACCCCAATCCATATATCAGATGGAATCTATTAATTTTGCGTTTTTATAATTTTGGCCTAGATGTAAGATTTTCAAGAGACTTGTTTCAGCTAAAGTATTCACTTAGATTGGAGCAGTCTATTTTTAGCTTAAAGTTAATAAAAAACATAATATCTAAATACGTTTGATATTTCATTGAGAAGATATAATGATGTAGATTGAATCACCTTCAAAAACTTAAAGGTGCTCGGACTTTGTTCCACAATTTTTAATTTTACAAAGCTAAATTTTGAGACAGATTTCATCTACACCTGAAAAAACTTACCTGATGAATGGGATTGGCTATATGATGCAGATGGGTATGTTGGACATTCACCGTTTTCGCTTTGAGGGTGACTTCTCCTCCCAAGCGATTCGTAATCGATCATGGGCGGTCCTTTGGTGGTGGCGATTGACATTTCATTGATATTACTCTCAAGCTCTCTATCAAAGCCATTTTGACCTTCAAAACTAAATGGTTTAATGTCTTCTTCAGAGCTTAAATAACTGTTGTGAAGGCCGTTAGCGCTTGTGTCCACGGAGGTTTCCAAGAAAACATTAATATCTGCGTTTTCTGAAAGAGATAGAAATAATTTCAGTATTAGACAAATCAAAAAATACCTATGAGAGATCAATTTATTGAAAATGGGCCTTTCAACAAGGTATGCATCTAGGCACAATGCAACATATTTCCTCATTAAAATTTCTTGAGGAAAACAAATCGCAAAACGGTAAGTCTGGAATTTAACTCCTAAACAAGATATAAGTTCCAAAAATTAACATTAGTTAAAGGGTAAAAATAAAAATGATATCGTTGCTATCATTTAACTTCCACTTGGACGTATTAATGCTAAGAGGAACTGTGTTGCACGCAAACCCCATGCACATAGTTCCTTTTAGCATAAATACGTCCATTTAATTTGCTTTGAAAATAATGGTAATCATCTTGTTAAGGATTTGATTTCTGAACTTTTCATTGAGAAAATTTTCTACCTAAGATTTTTTTTTTTTTTTTTTAAATAATGACCCATTGATGAATGTAAAACAGATACAGTTGCATAGAAAATCCTTGACAGGAAGCAGAAAAAGAAGAGGACAAGTATGTTGACATACATGTATGAAATATAAGTTGTATGTATGACAGACTCTTCGATAAATCAATTTCCTGTTGTTTGATTTCCATTTCATCAATAATTGAATCAGTGAGAACGAAAACACACCAACTTGATGACTCGAAAATGCTCACTTTTCACTGAGCAAAAACAATTTTCATAAAGGTCATTGAAGTTACCGTATCTGTACCAACTTGGACATTTAAAGTGTCCTTAAGTACTTGCTTTTAGGCACCAAAAATCTTTTTCTTAGACTAATTCCTTCACCTACTATGCAGTTTTGTGTGTGTCTCAATTATTTTCATTTTTTCAAGTTGGTGTGTTTTCGTTCTCACTGATTCAATTGTCATTGCACAAGATCCTGATTGGTTGAAAAGCATGTTGCATTTAAGCGAATCAAAGGTTTCCAACTTCACAAAACCAACAAACGAAGGAAACATACTTTCTTTGACAAAAATATTGTGACAGCTGAATAAAGAAAGGAGTTGCTCTACCATGATAACATGTCAAATTTAATGAATCTCTATGTCACTTGTGGAGCCAGGGGGCCCTATTGCATTTTTGTCTAATATCAATCGATCCTGATAAGATAGGCAAGAAAATAATTTGCTTAATATCAGTGAAATACAGGCATAACTAAGTACTGGTATTCCTGAGGACTTTGAATAAAATAAGAAAAGGTGGTTTGTAAATAACAACTTCCACCAATGCGTAACCCTCCTTTGGGCGTATCATAGTATTGGGACGGTAATTTTAAATTTTTGCTTTTTTTTGTGGGTAAAGTGCTGCAGGAATTGGACCAAGGCTTGTGTGATTTCGTTCTGTTTAAATATTTACGATTCAAACTATATGCTTTCATGCACAAGTTTCGAGATCAATTTTATGGGTTGTTACGAAAAATCAAGGGGAGTAAGTTTGAAAATCAGGGTGATGAAACTTTTACTTAGTTACCAACTTACCAACTCCTGAAAAGTTTGGCTCACAGTAATCTGAGTATGGAGTAGCAGCTTGTTTAAGTTTGGCATTGGTGAGAATTCTTTTTCTTTTGGTTTTTTCATTGTCCCAAAATTTAATTAGTTGACTGGCTGTTCGCTGGAAAGGAGAAAAAATACATCAAAACAAGGACTACATAAAATCCCAGAATTCTAAGAGGACTGGCGTAAAAAGACAAAATAATTGAAATATTTGACTCCAGATGTACAAAAATGCAATCACAGTGATTAAATTTCACAGAACCCAGCTGGTTGCTTGGATATTTTATAATATACCTTGTTTTGGATACTAAGGCCCTCAATCAGGACCTCTTTTAGAGATTGAAATTTAGTCTAACACCCCAAATTTTGCTTCGGATTCACCCCAATTTTTGCAGCCCTGGGCCTTCCAAGCAGCTGTAGCACTAAATGCACTTTAGACTGAGTTAGTTTGATTTTATGTCAACCCTGGAGCAAAGAAAACTGATTTTAAGTTAATGAAAATGGATTACTCGAGTGACCAGATCAATGCTAATATAAGTAAAAAGGCTAATGTTTGAATATTTATGGTAAAGTGATCGACTTAAAAAATGCTCAGTTTGTCCTACTTTTACGCTGACCAGAAAATTTTCCAAGTTAAAAGAACAATAACTGATACTGATTTGTAAGCTTTGACAGGTAAACAGTGCCTTGCGGGATATTTCTCAGTTTCCACTTTGCCAAACTATGACTGTACGGAATAAGAGCTTTCTGGACCAGCAGCCTGATAGTTGAAACTTTAACTGGCTTTGTCGGCAAGATAAGACAAGACATAGCCCTATCTGCGCCATGTAAAGTATCGATTTTTGATTCTTGTAGTGCCGACATAAATTTCAACAATCAGGCTTCAGACCCTGAATTTTCCCATCAGATTAAGTACAAGCATGATTTTTGAGATCAGAAGTGGCACACCAATCAGAATAGTAACAAAAGCAGAATGATCTCAATAGTTCGTTGAGACTTTTTTAAAACTAGTACACAATACTTAAGTAAGTTTCAATTTTGGTGTTTAACTTTATCTTGACCGTTGATTACCTGCTTACCGTATTGTTTCTGGAAACCAGATAGCTTCTACGAAAGTAAGATAGAGATAATAATACTATTATTCTCGAAGGGAGAAGAAAATAATTTGTAAGATTCATTATTCTATCTGTTAAGATGATGCTTTGAGATACCTAAATTGCTTCATGGAATCTGGAAGGAGGTCATAAACAGATCGGGATGGACGCAATACTTTCACTACGACTGCGACATCCCGATAAAAACATAGAGCGCCCAAAACGAGTAGGGGCCACAAAGATTCCCACTTATAGAGGGCAACCTCCAAAAGTATACGATTCTAAACAGTGGCAATTCTCCTCAAGGGTTTGTACGTTCAGATGGCGGGACAGTTCAGCCTCTGAGCTGTTTAGCCTGTTAGGTAAAGTTTCATTAATGAGTAAGATTTGGAACAGTCCATACTCTGGACTAAGTCCAACAGCCGTTGGTACATTCCACGAGTAATGAGTTGACAACAAACGGGTGGTGTAACCACGACCAGAAAACAAAAACATAACAGGACGACATACCTTGTTTTCATGAGTTTCTTGACTGTTGAACATTTCAGCGATATGTTCCCAGCACATCTTTTTCTTGACTTGGTTTACAACATCCGACTCCTTGTTTTCGATGACTGCTTTGTTTGCATGGATTAACTTGAGCAGAAAATGCCTCTCTTCATGAGTGAACATTTTTCTCTTCACTACCACACGCTTATTCATTTCCTCCGCGGAGCTGCAACTGGAGGACGAGGCAGACAAGGGGACACTCGTGGTGAAAATCAAAAATTTCCACGGGAAAACACTGCGGGGATCGCGAGAAAACACGAAGGGAACAGGGACAACACAACAAATTCACAAGAATGAGGTTAAGTGGTTTTGACGTACAAATCCGATAAGGGAAGCATCGGACAGACATATAAGGAGAAGGGATAACCTGCCGGCAGGAGTGGGGGAAGGCACAGAGAGGCGGACCGGAATTCCATAGACTTCGAAGTGACGTGACGGCAAGATCCGAAAGCACGATTTTCAGATTTTTGAATTTTAAAAGGAATATTAAAATGCCCGCTGACGATTTGATCGTGAAAAATGGACTTCAGACTGAATTATTTGCAACAAACACATAGTTTAGATAGGAGGAGGATTTGATAATGATTTAATTTTACACAAATTATTTTTTTTTTCATTTCGCCTTCAATACGCCGTACGGCAATTGTTGTTACTTCCAAAATGTAATGCATGCCAATTTGAGCTGGATGCGCACATTACTTCTTGAAGGCGTTCTTTGGTGTAAAAGCATTTTTCGGATTAAGTAATTGAGGGACGTTTCCTGTTGGAGTAAATATGAACGAAATATAGCTGGAAAAATCTGACAAAGATGCTGAGAAGAATCTAACATGAACAGTAAAAATCATGGAAAAGTTAAACATATTTATAAATGAAAAAAAAGAAAAAAAGAAAGAAAAAAGAGATGAAAGTTTTAAATATTGTAGGAGTGGTGATAGGCCAAAGGTCCATAGAACTATGACTAAATTTGTGAAATAAAATTAATACTTTTATAATTAGGGGTGCAAAATCAAATTTTTCAGGCCGCATTCACCCGTAACTATGATGAAATGTTCACAAAATTTTAGTGTCTAATGCCTGCAGACATGCGCTGGAGAAAATTTGAAAAAAAGCAAAAAAAAAAAAACTTCCAGATGTCTCCAACTTTCACCCGGACTAGAAAGTCTCGTGATCTCTCATTTTCTGCAGGCCTGTTTGTAATATGGCAAAATTACTATTCTTAATCAACCATCGAAGCATCAAGCTTTTTAAGTAACAAATTGAAGGCCTCCAAAGCCAAATAAGCAAACAAACAGCTAGGACCGAAGCCTAAGTCAGAAAAGAGTTGATGATATAAATTCATGTTTGCTCAAAACTTGCGGATGACTTTCATTCATTTTTCGAGGATACTAAGCCAGGAGTGCAAACGATTACATATTTTCCTCTCATAAAATTATTTTCAGGTCGTAGGGAATTTTTTGAGTCTCCCCCACCCCTAAATAGTTCAAAATCCTAATCTTTTTTAATTTCTTTAATTTTTTAAAAATAATTAAGCTGAATTTTTCGCTTGAATTTTTCATAGAATAAACTTCAAGTAGGAAAACAAATCAGGCAAGTTTTCAAAAAGTTAAGTTGAAGAGAATTCTAATTAAAAAATAGGGTACTGCTGGTGGTCTGCACTGTTGCAAACTGAGATAAGTGTTTCCCTTGTTCAGTCATCAGCATATTAAATCCTCACACGAAAGGAGAGCCTGTGCCAAATGCCAGGTTCATGCATTTTTTAAGGATGACAGAAGATCTGTCATCTTAATTTTTGTATTTACTTTCAATGCTAAACAGGACAGCTTATCTTCTGGCAGTCTAGTTAGTGCCCAAACTTTTTTGGCGTGGACTCCAGCTCTAGAGGTAAATGACGGCATATAAGTTCGTTGGTATGACAATAATACTTATAGTTAAAAAGTATACAGTGTGTGGATTCTTAAAAATTAATAAAAGCGAATATCTTACCACATCCAGTTTATCCCAGGCACGATAATCATAGGAAGCTATTTTCTTGGGCTTGTTTTCCAGAGGAATTTGCGATGGTGAGACGTTCTCAGTTTCATTTGCTGGCTTGCTTGTTTTTGTTTTCTTCCTGATAGGAGGAATATCCTATAAACAGAGACAAAAAGAGATTAAAAGTAAGGAAGATTGTTTAATCACTTCTTGATATGAATGTAATGTTTAAATAATAGTGAATTTACTTACAATTTGTTCAGTCTAGCCATGACATATTGATTTTCAATTCTTAAAGGGTCCAACTCTGGAATTACTTATCGTAGTTATGATATGAGAAGATGCATATCAGGATCATTCAGGAAATGCAGATGGATTTTGTGCTTGAAATTTATGAAGAATATTTGAAGAACAGAGAAAAAAAATCAAGTAAGTTTTCAAGTAATTACATTGACTTGTTTTACGTGGAAAAAATAGAGTATGACAGGAGGTCTAAAACATCGCGACTGGAGATACATGCTCTCACACTTTGCCAATCAATATGTATGAACTGTCCATGCTCTATTTTGAGTATTTGATCAGCACTATGACAGGTTGTCCGGGATTATGAAGACTCGTAATGGATCACGGACTAAGATCTGTTTAGTCTACGGAACAGGAGAAGATTTTAAAATTCAAGACGCACCTGTGATGCTTCACCGTGGAGTAGATTTTCCTTCCTCTTCATTTCCTTCTCCCAATTGGTCAGATCTCGCATGAAACTGTGCAATTCGTCTGCATTATCTCGGATTTGCTTCTGTATGATGATACTTTTATCCATACCCTGCAAGATGATTTCTGAATTCAAGCTGCCAAATATTGAAACAGATACACTTAGGTATTATTGGTATTAGTCTTGATAAACAGGCAGTATCACCTTGGTTTTGTTGTCATGCACTCAGCATGAACCTACCAATAACTGATGAAAAACTTTACATGCTAGAAATTGATGTTTAATGCAATAACAAAGCAACTAAAACGCACAGTATTTGATTCATACTAAAACTTAAATAAATTCATGAGCAATATCAACAACTGACACACGTAAATTGGTTTCAACGCGAGAAATTACAATTAAAATTTAAGAGAAAAGCAAAAGGACATGTGCTTGAGATTGAAAAAAGGAAATGATTAGTTTGTTGATGTTGATATAACAACAACAAAGTAATGAATAGTAGAAAGAGCGTAATTTCAGAAACCACCATATTCTACGTCATTCGAAACTAAAATGCCAGCTTGCCAAGTTGATGTAGTATTAAAAAAATATTTAATAATGTGTTTTTATGTTTTGAAATGCTAATAAAATGTGAAAGCGGTAGCAATGCAAGGCCGAACATCGTTAAATGACGTAAGCTAATCTACACCCTTGCGTGTGTCGTCTGTCAACGATGCAGCGAGCATTGAGCAATGCGATTTCGATATCCGGATCCGGCATCCGGCTTCTCGCTTCTTGATTTGAAAGTGTTTTAGGTTTTAGTTGAAGAAAACTTGAAGTGTGATAATATTCCGCGCACTGGAGTATGATTTGTGTTCTGTTCTTTGATCTCTGGCAGTGTCGCACTTAGTGTGTTTTTCAAAATCAACGGCTGGGCATCATTTCCCCAGAAGAAAGCATTCTTCAGATTCATGTCTGATGAAACTACCAGTGCTTCGATGGAAAATGGTCTCAGATGATAAGAAGTAACTAAGAGAAAAAGATGCAGCAATTGTTTTGGATGTGAACTGATGGCTCCTTTTATTGCCTGTCTATCGTGTACTACACATGATTAAATCACCTCTTGGTTTTTCCTCTTGTAGCTAAGATTTCTAGCCAACCTCCCCTTACAACAAAATGGAAGAGTCGTGCCGCCTCTGTTTATCGGGGAAAGATGTCCTCATTCCTATATTTTACGAAGGATCGGCTTTGCCCACCAATATTCTGTCATGTTTAGCTGTGCAGGTAATTGTTCTCTCTTGTCGCTTAGTTTGTTAGTATTTAGTGTGGACACCTCAATCAATAGCTAGTAAATGATGTCTTTCATTGGGAACTTCGGATTTCCCCAGTAAACTGCTCCTCAAAGTGACTGGCCTGGACCTAATTTTTTTCACGTTTGTTTCCATGTTCAAGTCGCAAACTTTGAAGAGCAGGTAACTACTTAAGAATTCAATCAATGGTTATATCAAGTTTACAATCGATTTTGAGGTTAGAGTTTAAAACGCATCTATCCATGTAGCAATACCATGAGTGCGTTTTCATGTGTCACCTGTTGTTCATTGGTGACCCACTCGATCATTCTCTGCTTTCTAGTGCACTCTTTGTTAGTGAAGGGTTCCATCTAGTTTTTCAACGCCTGCCGAAATCCAGTACAGACACACCTGTTGTTGCGCCACTTTACTTGACAAACCGCAGATAGTTCGATAAATTTAAGCCTCTAAAAATCTCTGATTATTGTGACACTAACTTTGCATTCATCGAACGTCTTTCAAGTGTATTAAATATCCAAATTTCATTCCCCATTTTTCATGTCGATCTTTGGTCTTTCGTTGATGATAACCCTTAAACCCATACGTAAACAGAAATTTTTTCACTGTTGACATCCCACATTGATAGGCAAAATAGAAAAAGCGTATCTCAAATCATGACGCAGGAAGTTTTTGCCCGTGTTTTATCTTTCTACAAGGATGCAGACAGTTTCAAGCCTTTCCCTATATTCAATCGGCCTTCCTCTATTTTTAAACCCTAAATTTATGATCCCCTCTCCACAAAGACATAAGAGAAAAAAAACCTCTTGACTCTCAATACCAAACTTTTTCACTGCTAAAAATGCTGAACATTGTTAATTTTTGGAAAAATTTAACGATAGACTTCCCTCAATTTTTTCTGCTTCCCCTGGTTTTCCTCATTCATAGGGGGGTTTACCCATTTCACAGGACCAAGCTGGCTCCGGGGTCAGAAAGTTTCTGACCCCTTTTTCCTAAAGATAAACTAACCAATAGCATTTATGTATTGAATTTCTCCATGCATTTTCTTCAATCTTTCCAAGAGAATCACATACTTACAGTTGCAAGGAAACATTTTGATTTGTTTTCCATGAAGGAAATACAGCTATTTTCAACAACAGAATTTAGACGAACATTTTTCGTGATGTGCTATTGATAAGCTTATTTTTAAGCTCGCCATCACCAAATAGCCGCACTCCACAATATTTCATTTTAAAACAAAGAGCTGGAAAATTGGAGTAAAAATTTGTGACTAGTCTTACAATTTATCGAATGGGAAAGGAAAATTTAGATTGCAACAATTTTAATATCCTCTGTTATTATCCAGGTCTCTCCTGATGATAATCATAAACGCATCTGTACCATGTGCGACAAGAAGCTGCGTGAGTGGTGGGACTTCAAACTTGAAGTTCAAAGTGCGCAAAAATTTCTTAACTTGCAGAAGCAACTTTACTCAAAAACAGTGACTTCAAGTGGAGAAAATGTGAGTAATTGTCGTATTTTTCTTTCTTTTATAACACCATACTTACACTTTTCTTTTTACATACAAAGAAGCCACTTTTATATTGCTCTTTGGCGTTCTACGACGGTGCAACTGCCACAGCATCTTTTCCTCCCACAGTCCTTTATGGGGACATCATTTCATTTTAATTATTAGAATTAATTAATGTATCTGTACTGCCGTGCCAAGGAAAAATGCTGTACGAACACCCAAGAATTGCCGAATTGCCTCTTGTAATATGTTAAATTTTAAGGAGTTACTATTATTTTCTCATGAAATTTTCGGATAATTTAGATCTGATTGTGAATACTATTTTCTGAAAAATCAGAGAAACAATATTCTCAGATTTTACTGAAAATTCATTTTTTATTGAAGAAAATTTGGCAATGTCTAAAGGCTCATATGGCGTTCCTCCTTAGCATGGCAGTATAAGAGCTGAAAAATTGCTCATGGAATTTTAAATAATATTTAAGCTTAGTAGATTGTGGTAAATAGAAAAGCATTAATAATAATAATAATAATTTATTTTATTTGTAAATGCACATTTATTTTGTGTTTGGAAACACATTGTGTTTGGAAATGCTTTCTAAAGTTGATAATGTTCACCAAATTTCTCAGAATTGCATAGAAACAGTTTCAAGCACAGGATAGATACTTAGTAAATTTCAGGCAAAATTTCTAACATCTTGCCAGTGAAGTTTTTGGTCAGATGAAATTTTAAAATGATGGATTGCCGTCTGTTTTCGCAAATATGTATCAACTACAGCCAAGGTTCTTCTTTTCTACCAAAAATTTTGTGATTTCTTTGTCTTGAGCATATCTATGGTGAAACTCCAGGTATTATCTGTCAGAATCTTAGTTTTTAATGTTGCAGACTTTCTGTCTTACATTATTTTGTAAATAAATGTCATTCTGCAAAATCTTCTCAGATATTTTTCTCTGAGTAAAGAATATTGTAGGTGTGAAAATTTCAAGCTATAGCATTGTTTTTTCTTCCTTCAATGATTTGAAGTGGGATTGGAGGCCCTGAAAAATCGCAAAGGACGTGAACACTCCTGCAGTTTCACCCTCAATTTTGAACTCAGTGCAGTTCAAATCATTGACTCTAAGGAGAATTTTGGAATTTTTGGCCTTGATTTCCTTCCAGAATAGTTTGAATTCAGCACTATTCTACCATCCTGTATGTATACGACTATGTACTGTTATTGAACAGATAACTTTGTCAGCTTAATTATGATATCCGAGTAATTTTGTCTCCACATGAAAGATGTAAGAGGCTTTTTACTCCTGTATAAGCTATTGCTTTGAACTACTTATCACTTAGTGTTTTTTCCTGTCCTATTACCAGGAATGTAGCTCTTTAAGTTATTCCACCTACAAGTAACTTCATATGACATCTTACCTCTACTTTTCAGCAGAATTTGAGTGATGTAAGTGGATCTAGTACTCCAAGATCAGACATTACTTCAAGACCTGAAGGCTCATCAAGTTTTTCCGCTAGTGGAATCAAGCAAGAAAACTCAAGTGACTCCAAAAAACGCAGCTCAAGTAATAGAAAAAGTATTCCTCCTTCAATACCAGCAGACTCCAATTCATATTATGTTTCAAGTTCCTCAAGTGAGACACTTTATTTTTTTTAGCCCTTATCTTAAATGATTCTGTCAGTCAAATTGTTTAGTAAGTCGCAAAAATTCCCCAATGCTGACCTTACGAAATTTATAGAGGCAGAGGTTGAAAAATAGAAGAGATCTCAGACCTGGCACCTTTTTTCTTTCTCTTTACTTGCCGCATCAAGAAGTCATTACCCTTTCTGGGTCTGATTGTGTCCTCAAAATGAGTCCTAGGCCAGTTTTGACACAAAATGCGGGTTTGTCAGCGTTCAAAGTATTTTCATACTGATCCTGTCTGAATAACAAGATTCTTTGTTGAAACTTCTGATGGCAGAACACCTTTTATAACTGGGTTTTCAAGCACTCCTGTCTGACTAAGATTGCTGCAAAGCTGCTTACCTCTCCTATGTTTCCATATGAATTTGTTGTCATAGAACTGATTGATTAACCAACTCTTTGACTATGCCATTGTTCAGGAGCAGTGATGATAGATATTGTAAGTTACAGCTCAGCACTAGTGTAACGTATTTTAGACACGGTTTTTGGAATCATGAAACGTATTTCAGTTGATCACGGGTTTCACACCATGTTAGGTATAAGAGATAGTTGAAAAAGAAACCGTTCAGCACCAGCTGATCTTTGTGAACTTAGGATCAACAAGCCACGAGAAATGGAGTGAAAATTAAAGAGACGAAATTTTGAGATAAAGTTTATCACTGTATTATCCGGAATAAGACAGAAACATTGCACAAAATATTGAGAATACGAATGAATGAAAGTTCATCGGCTTCCCACTTTATGATGCACTTTCACTGGTTGACACTTGGTGAAGATTCGCCTGAAGGGCTGAGAAGGCGTTACGCGTTGGCACATGAGTCTAAGATGGTAAAGGACCTTGATTTAGGCGCAGCGCACGCTTCTATAGACTTGCTGGCGTCACAGGTGTCGAGACAACAAGTCTATGCGTGATTGGCTGGCTATAATCTATGTAGCTATCAGTTGCAAGTATAGTAATAAGTAATGGAGATGAACTGAATGATAGGGTGTAAAGAAGATTTGAGATCAAAGAATGAGCTTTTGTAAGACGGAAAAATGAACGTTAGAAAAATATTGTAAAGAGTTGACAACTAGTCTGGTCCGAAGGTTTTGGGATGTAATGTGCCTTTACCTCTTAAATATCTTAGTTAATTGTATGATATGATTAAGAGTACTAACTTTGAATCATTCACAATAAAGTAATGAAAGCAGGGTGCCTACAGGTCACAAAAACTGGGTAATGTCAGGGAATTTTATGGAAAAGACTGGAAAGTTGAAAAATGTAGAAACCTTATGTTTAAAAAGAAAAGGAGAAAAAAAAAAAACAACGCAGTCCTGACAATTAAACTGACTCTCAGTCTAGTGTCCATTTCAGTGCTCCAAGTTTCACTTCAAATAGTGGCAAAAAAAATAATTTTCAACAAAATATTACAATTTCAGTCAATTGAATCATTAATATCCGAAGAAAAAAGGCTCATGTGTCTGGGTCATTTACAGTGGAATCAATGGCAAAAATAATTGCCCATTCCCAGTTCTAGGCATGCAAATTTTCTTTGTGAAAAGTCAAGAATTTTGGTCAGGGAAAAACCTGGAAAAGACACGGATTTTTTTCTACCCAGACCGTAAACACTCTGTAAAACTAACCTCGCTGTAATTGGTTCAAGTTTTCAAGTATAATTGAAGTTTTTAGTAAAAGTAAAAGAATCTCTTAAAAAATAAAAACTTTATTATTCTTGCTACTTATAAGTAAATTGGCACTATTGGCTCATGAAATGACTATCCATAGATTTGCTGTAGCAGATAGACTGCTTCTTCATATGAGCAGCTTTATATGCAAAGATGGCAAGACTTACATTAAAAAAATGTTCCTTACCAGTTGGTTTTTTTACCAAGTTCCATATAGTCCTTATCAACATCCGTCTAAGTTACTACCTTATTCTCTAAGTTATCTTTCTATGCTTTTGTTTCTCTTTAGGTGGGAGTACTAGTGGGCGTGAATCAGCAGCATCTAGTAACACTGCCAAGCGGATGAACTCTCTCCGTTCAAATGATGATGATGATTGCGTTGTCGTTGATCAGCCACCAAAACGGAAAGCTCCAGTGGTGACCCTAGATAAAAGCGGGAACAAAAAGCAAAAAAAGGCTGCAACCCCGTCTAAGATGACCAAAAAAAATGTAAGTTATAAGTTTTTAAACTAGGAAAATCAGCAACAGTCGTCCGAAGATTGGTTTCATTTGGGGTCCTTCGTGAACCTTCATTTGGTTCAAACATGACGGCTAGTTTGGGTGCAGTTCAATTTTAACATTTCGTTTTGGGAATCAGGAACTTGTTCATTGAAAAAGATCAAACAAAGGGAAGAATGCAAAAAATGATATTAGATAGAGGAGCGAATGCAACAGAATGAAGTTGAAGAAAGTAAGAGTGCAGACGTCAACAGTGTGAGAAAAGTTGTCATGGAAACCGGCCATAAAATCTCACGGGTTGACGCACAGTCTCAGTCCGTCGGATCAAGGTTTCCCGTCTTGCAGGAATTTTTCATGTGGAAACACCAACTGATACTGTTTCTATCCAGATACCTATCTTTGTAATCATCTTTCATTTCTCTGCAAGCGTATTTCACCGGAATACTTGCTGGAAATAATAATTAATGACAAAACTATACCCTCTCTTCAAATCAACTCACATCAGAACATGAGAAATGCCTGCACAACTGCAAACTCTAATTCAACAGACACAGCTTGGGTGCCAAAATTTGAGATTTTACTGTCAGTTTCCATGACAGCTTTTCTGAAGCATCACACACTTTTGCACTCTTCCTGTTGTCGACTTCATTACGGTTCATTCTTTTTCCCAAGTATGTCCTTATTTTTTGTACTCCCTGCTTTGAGCTGTCTTACGAAAAAAATTGTTGAGAATAAACCAGGGTCGATGATTACAAGTTGTCTTTAAAATGTTATAACTTTAGCAATTTTTTAATTAGAGACCTGCCTAAGCTCTTGTTTTGAATCTGTGGATCCAATCTAAAGCCCTGCTCAAATTGCATGTCAGTAGTTCTTACGGCCCTCTCAAAAACGGGAAGTGTGAAGTACTTTTGGGACTGCATCTTGAATAGTAATTTTAAAAAATCCGAAAGCTTTTTTTCCCCAGATTATTGCAAAAATTTAGAAGAAAATAGTTTTTTGAAGTACCGTAAGACCTCAAATTATTGGATTGCGATTTAACGGATTCTGTGATTTAACAGATTCTTCGATTTAACGGATCGATCCTCCGGTCCCTTCAGCAGGACCCACCTGTGGGTTTAACGGATTCGGCCTCCGGTCCCGTGAAATCCGATAAACGGATGTCTTACTGTAGTAATGGTAGGGGTAGATACTAAAGTCTCACAAAGTTAATGTCCCTTACAAACTGATTACGGGATGTGTTGTTCAGACAAAGCGTTGGTGATTTTGCCAACGTTTGTTTTTCAGTAAAAAACCGTTATTCTCATCATACACAGAAAAATCTCATCAGAGTACAAATCTCTCAAGAGAGTTATGCTGTTTGCTGCAATGTTAGTTACTTTACAACCAATCAAAAAGGCAACTGAAGGCGCATTTTGGGTCTAATTGGACCTATCATCAGCGCAGCTTCCTGTTTCTCTGCTTCAGAGCACGGAGAGGTCATACAAACCAGACAGAGGTTTGGGCATGCGGTCGCACCGTAAGTGAACTTGTGCTCAAATGAACTTTTTTCCTCTTCAATGAGAATCAGTTTTTTAATGAAATTCAACACAGGTCGACCAAATCACCAACACTCTGTCTGAATATCTCCATTCAAACTTGATACTCAGACTATCTATATCCAAGGTTTGATTTTGTGTGTGTGTGTGTGTTTCAGAGTGAACCTGGAAAGCCCACTCCAAGCCAGACTCATGAGCAGTCTCAAGAAATAGACACAGGAGAACCACTAAAGTGTCATTATTGTACGTCAACTTTCTCCAATAGAATGTTACTAAATTCACATTTAAAATATCATTCAGTAAACCGACGTTTCGGGAAGAAACACATCAAGTGTCCGTACTGTCCCATCGTCCTCCAGGTGTACAGTCTGCGCGGCCATGTGAGGAACGTCCACAAAATGGACCCAGATGCAGCTGGGATTTTAACTTACATAGAAACTAAATTCACCAAAGGAGCCAAGGCCACTGTGATCGCAGAGGGTATGAAAATGGTGGTGTTTCCATGCAATCTTTGCAAGAACTCTTACAAAAATCCCATGGCACTGAAAGTACACAAAAATAAGTTTCATGGAAACAGAGCTACTTCAAATCTGTTAAAAGTAAAACCTGCTCTCCACGTCAAGAAAAATACAACCTGTGATAAATGCAACAGAAGGCTACTCAGCGTAAAAGCGGTGGCGATCCACAAACAGTATTGCGGTACAGAACGTGCTTCCAGTTGTCCATTCTGTCAAAAGCAGTTTGAGTCTGTCCAAAGGTTAAGAAGACACATCTCCGAAAAACATAGCGGGGGTCCCAAAGATGAGGGGGAGCACTCATCCGCAAACTCAACGTCCAAAGTTTCAGCGAGTAGGGTACCCTCAGGAAACCCACCTCAGTGTGAGCCAGCACCCAGTTCCGTGCAGAAACAAGCTGCTAAAGGTGTCCCAAAACATCAATGCCAGCAGTGCACTCGAATTTTTCACAGTGCAACTGGAGTCGATGAACATCTAAAATATTGTGGAGGTCCCCAAGCAGTCAAGTGCAGGCTGTGTCCGTACCAATATAATAGTCCTCGGAGCTGTAACATTCATTCCGCCAACACACATCAAAAAGTCGTAATTCCGTGTGATTTTTGTAATCGAAAATTCTCTTCGAAGGCAGACTATTACCAGCATCAGAAGATTCACAAACAGTCACTCAAGTCAAAAATGCTGCATAAATGCAGGAGCTGTCAGAATATTTACACTGGACTTAAAAGTTTCAATAACCACAAAACCAATTGTCGGCTAGCATTCGAGTACAAATGTGAAAAGTGTTTCCTTCATTTCCAAGAAGAAAATTCTCTCCATAATCACGTGCCCCAGTGTGTAGGTAAATCACGGTTCGAAGAAAAACTTAAACTTTTGCATAAAAGCATCAAATGTTTGCAGTGCACGAAAAAATTCTCTAGTGAAAACCACTTCATCAACCATTTTGTTGAAAGTCATGTCAATGCTACCAACTCTATTTTTTCTGGAGTCAACATGCACGATTGTCATTCTTGCTTTTATGCAGCCAACAATCCAGAAAGCTTGAGGCGACACGGGGGGCAATGCAGAGGAATACCATTCTATGTCGTGAAATCTGCTCTCCAGAAATCTGATCTTCCTTCAGTTCAAGATGACTCAGGAAGCTTCAACTCACAGCAAAATCCTGAAGAAAATTTGCATTCAGGAACAAGAAATAACGATCTTAATAAACCTTCCTGCAGTACTAGTAGTGATATGAATATAGAAATTACAAAAATTTGCTCACCTGCATTCATGAACGAGCACTTGAATGCTTCAAAAAGTGCTCAAGTCGTAGTTGAAAAGTTATCTGAAAAACAAATTCACAGAACATCCATTGAATCCATCAAGTCTGAGCCCAAAGTCGGATTTAGTCCGCGCGATAAAGTGCAGTGTGAATTTTGTAAAAGATTTTTCACTCCTACTGGTTTCCCCACTCATAGGTGTCATAAACGGAAAAAAATACTGGCTCAACGTGCTAGGCAAAAGTCACAAGAGACAAAAGAAGTGGCAGCAGCTTCAACTTTGATAAAGTGCGAAATGTGTTTTGAAATGATTGCACAAGAAAACCTGGTAGAGCATTGCAAGTCCGTCCACCATGCCATCAGGCCGGAGGAGATGGCGCAAGGTATGATAACTGTTCATCAGCACAAGCAAGCAATTGAACAGAATATGAAACTAGAAAAATATCTGGCTGATCTGGCAGCTTCCCATTCTGTCAGGAAAAGCACCTCCCGCCCGGACACATCACCTCAAGAAAGCGGTGACGAGGATGCAGCTGGGAGTGATGACAAGCACCATTCGGCAGGAGCTACAACTTTGATAAAGTGCGATATGTGTCTTGAAATGATCGCTGAAGAAGATCTGATAGAGCATTGCAAGATTGTCCACCATGCCATCAAGCCAGAGGTGATGGCGCAAAATTTAATAAATGTTCATCAGCAGAATATGAGACTAGAAAATTATCTGGATGATCCAGAAGCCTCGCATTCCGTCAGTAAGAGCACCACCCCGCTCGACACATCACCTCAGGAAAGCGATAAGGAGGATGCAGCAGGAGAATATGACGAGCACCATGGCAATGAATCTTTCGAAGACCCGATTCTTATCGAGTGCGACATCTGCAATGCCCATTTCACAGCAACAGAACTGGAGGTCCATTTAAGAGATCAGCACAATGCTGTAAATCCAGCAGCATTGGCCAAAACTATGGGAGAAAACAATATAGCTAAGATAAACGTCCAAAGCATCAAGACAGAGCATGAGATGAGTCCAGATGAAGAGACCTCTAGTCCGGAGAACTCTCCTGATGGAGCAGAAAATGTGCACAGTGATCAAGAAGAGGACGAAGAGAACGATGAGGGCGAGGATATTGAAGGTGTTGTTGATAATGTGGAGCAGCTTCAAGACGAGGAGGACTTCAGTTTTGCGGAGGAAGAAGAGGACAGATCAGAGGAAAGAGTCAACACTTTACCCTTAGAATCCATCTTCTTGGGGGATGATGTGGAGTCTTCCCTTACATCAAATATAGATTTGCCTACAGATTTTGGAAGAACTTAATGGCCTTATGATACCTAAGCTCTTGAAACGGAGCGTTTACAGGGTTGGAACAATCACGAATTTACCCAAAAACCTTGAGGAAAATCAGGTAATTACCTGCTGAAGACTGAACATTTTTCCTTTTCCTCGATTTTTCTCCATCTCGTAAGGTTTTATAACCATCAATTCAAAACAAAGATTTTTTGTTACCATAGTCTTGTTTCAAAAAAAAAAAGAGGAAGAAAGGAAGGGAAAAGACATCAGGACTGCCATTTAAATTTTAAGATGAATGTTGAAAATCATTGCTTTAATCATGATTGTTAGAATTTTGACTGGAAGTATCAGGGAATTTCCTCATTCTGAGAAAATAGAACCTGAAAAAGTTGCGGAGTATAAATTTCTAAAGATATTAGGACCTTGAATGAGCGTTCCTGAGTTACTGTGGAAATTTTTTCTTGTATCCCAGGGTTTTCCAGTGCAATAAGTAAATTCCCTAGGTGCCCATCTGGAAAATCAGCCGTAAAAATCATTACCTCTGTCTTTAGAAATGTTTTATGTGTACTCTGTTGCTTCAAGTTCCTATCGGTCAGCGATTCTATTTGTTTTCCTAATTGAAAATTGAAAAAATCGTTGTGGTTCCCTACAGGCTGAGGAAGAGTTCTTAACCCCTGATTCATAATTATAAATGCAACGTTTTAACTTGTGAAAATCAAAGATGCCTGGTACAGTGAGGAGTTAGAACTGAATGTTAAGGATGCTTTTTAACTGTTTTCTTTTTACTAAACTTAAGTCAATTTTTTTAATCTCTCAGTGCTTGGGTCAATTTGCTGAGTGAAGGACTGGATCATCATGTGAAGAGAAAATGGTATTTTTTAAAGAGTCCCCTCTTTTCTGCAATGAACTTATATCAAACCAACTTTGTGAAATTGCTGGTTTCTCTCTAAAGTTTTTGAAGGAATTATAATGACTCTATCTCAAAGCTTGCTGTAGCTGTCTATTTCTAAGAAATTGTTTATGAAGACAGGAAATTAAAGCCCAAATTATTCTAGCGGGAAATTCACTGCCCAATTTGATTGATTCAATTAAATTTTTTGTCCGCTGTTAATTTGGCTTTAATGGGTCTGTTGAACACTGAAGATACAACCTCGGAGGACTTTCTTCAAGGGTTAAATTCGCTTGAAAATCTTGTGAAGCACATCAAATATGTCTAAAATCCATTCGGAAATGCTAAATTTCCGTTTTCTGCATCACTCATTTCCAATTTATTATGTCTGTAGGCAATGTTTCTTGGTCACTGGCCGTCTGGTTTGCCCAAGGAGGGTTTTCAAAAACCTAATTTATGTACAAGAACAATCCAGCAATTTTTTATCAATCCTCCCTACATATGATTTCAATAATTTTGAAGTTTTTGTTCCCTTCCCATTTATAAAAAAGTGAAAGTTTTGAGTAGAAAACGGGTACATCTATCCATGAGAAATATTGAGAACACTTTTCAAGTTTATTTTTAATGAGGCTTGATTTGAACAATACCATTTTATTTGTATGTGAATTAGAACCAAGGTGTTGTGTTTAGTATTTATTAATCACTAGCGATTAATGAATATTAAACATAGCACCTTGGTTCTTATTCACACACAAAGTTTTTTTTGTTAAGTTTGGTCAATTTTCCTCAGACCTCTCCCTAAGTGAACCATAACATGGTCAATTTGAAAACTAGCAATTCAGGCTATTGTAATTCTGCATTTCAGAGGTATTTTAGACATTTTTGATGTGCGCAATTGAAATTTTTTCCATTCGGCTGTACCTCTTGAGGATAACAGGCACATTTAGGATTTTCAAAAATACCTCCTAGAAATATGTAGCTGACAATGAGCTGAAATGTGCTTTGGTAAAACCATTCCGTCATTTGCTTAAAATCCTAGATGAAACTAGTCTTTCAGCAAAATCTGTTCAATTTTTTAATGTTTGTTTACCTCTGATCTAGATTATTTTTTTAGTATTTAGAAAACTTAAATTACTTGTTAATGAATCACTCTTTACTTACCAGCCCTTACCTAGGCCCATGGTCCTATCTTTGCACACAATTCCTTAACGCAATTTCGCTTCTATGTTTTTTTTTGGAAACAAATGGTAAGAGAAGAAGCTATCAGTTTAGACCAATACTTGTTTGTGCATGATTAAAAGGGATCAAAATGAGCACTGTAATTCAATTGAGCTATTTTAATTGTTTTATCTCCAACTTAATTATTGTGTAGGTACTTTCAAATGCTCATACTTCTCACCAAGTCTTTCATGGTGGGATGATCCTGTCAAGCATGATTCTAAAGACTTCCTTTGAAAAAAAAGGAACTATGTACTTGTAGGTTCAATCAATCACTAAAGAAGTGTGCTGTTAATAATGAAACAGGCAGAAAAAGATGTCTACGTTCCTCTTGTCGCATCAATTCTAAGTCTCAGTATCACAGCTGTCATTAACTGGTCGCCAACATGATCTCGTCTTGAAATGACTGCAATTGCAAATTAATGTGGTCTGTTCGAGGTACGCTTTAAATCATTAATTAAAACTAAATTAATTATAGAGAACGAAACATCAAAATGTTTTATCCAGTAGATAAATGTATAAATACAAATTTATAAAAAAACGGAAAGGATAAATTCTGATTTGGTCCCATCATTGCCTGAGGAAGGTCTTTTTATATTCATTATATGTTTTTAAATATAACTTTCTTTTGTTTCAAATTTTTGTTCTCCTCTAGTTTTTTACTTGTTAATTTTTATCTTATTATATACCTATTATTTTGAACATTAGTATTTTTTAAGTGATTTTAGGTACCCTTGTCAAGGACAAAGGTAACATTTCCAGGTGTAAAGACTCATCTATACTGTGAAACTGCAAGAATATGTATCTCAGTTTATGTTGCTGTAGACTGCCTGTCCTGATTGATTTTTGAATAATAAAAATATTCAACTTTATTGCTTGAAATTTTTCATGATTTTCTTCTTGTATGTGAAGAAAATTCTGTGAAAATTTCCAGTAATAGTGTTGGTTTGTTTTCCCTTGATAAAATGAAATTGCAGCAGAGGTTCTGAGACACCATAAAAAAGGTATGTGTTTTTGCAGTTTCACCATAATTATGTGGTCCGCCTTTTTTTGGAGAACTATCTCTTAAATTCTCAGGAACACTCAATTTATCTGTTCTCATTATTATTACTTCATTTGGATGAATTTTAAAACTATCAGCTGGAAACTTTTTTTTTTATGAAGAATAAAATAATTTCATACATAATACTTTTTGTGGATTTATTGTACATATATCTCTTCCAAAATTATTTTCCTTCTTTTTTTCTCTGGCAGATTTCACCATGTTTTTTTTTTTTTTTTTTTTTTTTTTGGTTAATACATTTGCATTAAAAAATATCCGCTTTTGCATGAAACTATTTTACGTAACATTTCAGTATCACATCCTTTCAAGATTTTTGAAGCAAAAGATGACAAGTATGTCTGTTAGAATTTTATTTCTCTCTATCACAAAAAAAATCCAATAAAAACTTTCTTAGATAAACTTTTATGGATAATATCCTGAAAAATATGGGAGAGCAAATTTTGAAATCAAATGTGATTCACACTTATTGACAATTCTGTTACCAAAGAACCAAATTTCCGTTCGTGGAGGCAGACATTTTGTTTGACCTTAACAACGGTACCTACCTAGTCCTGAATTCCTGTCTCAATTTGTAAGTTGGCCGTCAAATATTGTGAAGAAAGGATTGCTTCTGATTAAAGTAAATTAACAATTGCTCAATTGAGGAGAAATAGTCTAGAAGCTGGAAGTATTCCCTTAAAGTTTTAGTGGTCAAATGAAACAGCTCCCTACGCAGAGTCAATGGATAATGTGTTAACAGTTGCAGTGAAGATTTTTCTAAATATTATTCCATAAAGAAAAACGCGAGGATAGATCTTTCGATCTAACTTGAAAATTCGCTCCCTTTAAATTTTTTTTTTTCTAGACGAAAGACAATCAAGGGACCCATGAAATGAGGCATTTTCTTTTCTGAGATCAAAAAAGCACTTTTTATGAAAACGAGAGAACATCATCGATAAGTACCAACTGCTTTTTTAACCGTATTAAAGACATTTAATGAAAGAAATCGATAAAATTTAAAGCTTGGGAAAGTTTCTCTCCCCCCCCCCCCTCCAAATTGAGGAAATTCTTAGCTCTTTGCTTGTCTCAGTTTACTGCCGTGCATGAGTTTTACGTATGCTCGCATCCGTATCAAAATCGCGTTTATACCGCGAAGTTGAAGTGTTTTTATCACGAATCGTTCAGCTAGAGTTAGTTCAACTTCAACACACAAAAAATTAATGCAGAATTTAAACCTTGAATTCGAACTCCGGAGTAGGCATCAGTCATGTGGTACCGTCAGTGGGTCTATCATGAGCCGTTCCCGTTTGGGGATTTTTTTTTCTCTTGCTTGCGGCAGCACTGTCGCGAAAGTAAACAACGAAAACAACATGTGGTATGTTGATGTTCCGATGTGATAGTGGCGTGTCTTGCTGTCTTGGTGGAATTTCAATGGTATTGAGACATATTTTTCCATCGGTAAGTAATTTTTATAAATTATTTAGTTTTTAGAATTTTTTGCTCCATTTTCTACCTCTGAAACTGACCTCCTTGAAAAGTGACTATCGATAATCCCAGAATAATTTCGCCGGTCGCCGAACCTCACAAATACCTCCAACTTTCATGCCCATGCATTGGATTTTGAACATTTTAGTTTTTGACCGATTTTTTTTTGGAAAAACCAAAATTTTGGAATGTTGGAGGTAACTTGAGCCACACAATTTTCGCAAGTCTTCCAGGAATAATCTATACAGTAATGGTTTTTATGATACATCTTAGTAAAATTGGCATTCCTTTAGAGCATCAATCAACTCCTTAACGTATCTTTCATATTTACTGTTTTTCTTTTTAAGACTTGTATACTATATATACTTATATAAGGAAAAAAAAGAAAAAAACACTGAGAAGTGGCCCGAACTGTATGTAACAAGGTGGAGAAATGGTGCTGGGTCCACACCATCTCGCGGGGAAAACAAAGCCAAGAAGTTCCAAATATTAAAATTAGAGTCAAAATTAATTTTATTCTTATACATGTACTACTATAAGTAAAAGTGAATCTAACGTAGCCCAAAATACTACTATATATATACTTTTTAAGAAACTTTGACTGATCTCTCTTGACTTCAAGTCCCATTTGTCTTGTCTGTGTGCCTTTAAAGTAACTTAGTGCTATTGATTGTTAAATGATTTCCCGTTAGATACAAGGTTCTAGATGTTAAATGTATCTGTTCGCCTGAAATTTGACGTAAATTGTAGATAGATATATCAGCACAGGTAGATGAGGACATACCAAGCATATAACTATGCAAACTTGGTCGTAGGTATTCTGTGCGGTATCACTTAGAAATGAAGGGAAATCTTAGCATTTTGTCTGTCTGAAATTACTAACATTTGTGAATATTATGCGCGCGTCGTTGTAAAAATTGAGTTTTTTGCGTGTTATTAAGGTGAAAATTGTGTGATCTTATTCGCTTGCAGACAAACGTCGAATAATTCGCGTAACTAACGTGTAAGAAACTCACACCGGTCAAAACGAACGTTAAGCGCGGAAGTATTCGAAATCGGAATTCGGCATGTGGTATCACGCAAAAATGAAAGAAAATCATAGCTTTTTGCATGTCTCAAAGTACCGACGTTCATGAATGACGCGATATTCATTGAACAATGTTTATTAATACATGTATTATAAATTACCCGTGTTTTGGCAAAACAGCCAGAAAAATTGTGTACATACCGCGATATTGACGTGAAAAACTCATAATCTTTCACTTTAAAGGGTGAAATGCAGCCTCTACCGGATGATCGTTTGCATTTATTGGTATTTTTTTTTCTTCAAAAAAATGTTGTTTCATATTTTGTTTATTTTTTTCTTTCATTTAAAGGTTTCTATCATTTATTACTTGATTTATTTTTAAAATTTTGCCGTTTAAATTCATATTTTATGAAAGAAATGAAATTTTATAAGGGATTTTCTTCTCCTAAAAATTCCTTCAACAATAAATTACTGCCTCGTAGCAATCTCTTAAGTAATCCTCCACTGAAGATTAATACTGCCGTGCTAAAGAAGAACGCCGTATGAACATTCGAGAATTACCAAATTTCCCTCAATAAAATGTTTATTTTAGAAGAAAGTTATGTATATTTTTCCTTGAAATTTGCAGGAACTTTAGGTGAAATCATGAACAAAGTTATCTGAAAAATCGGAGCGAAAATATTCATAAGTTTTCCAGAAAATTATAGATTGATCAAATACAATTTGGCAACGCCTGAAGGTTCATCCGGCGTTTCCCCTTAGCATGGCAGAATACGTCACTAACTTTAAGATTTTTTCTCGCCCCTTCATCGACATGCATAGAAACCGTGCAAAAGGAAGCATGCAACTTATCAAGCTCTTGCGTCTACTTTGGTATCATTCGAAATTGAAGGCACTCTAGAAGCCGCTTGAACCTACCGTCGAACGGAATGTCTGTGCTCTGTGCAGGTCTCGGCAGTTACACCAATGCAGTAGATATTGTCACGTGCGGGTTCGAACTTCTAATTGTATTTTCCTCTAGGAATTTAAATAGTGAAGTAGGTTCGACTCGAATCATTTCCACCCGTTTTTGTTTTCAAATCGCTTGTATTAAAAAGGCGCCGATAACGAAAATAGAAGAATCCGAAATAATGGCAATTTTCGTAAGATGGCAAAACTGTCTATCCTCCATTTAAAGCTGTTATAAATAATCGATTTTAGACGCGGCAGACGGCCTAGATAAATATCGATAGGTTTACATATAATTAAATGCAAGAATCCAAATATTGCCGACTTGTGGGAATCCTCTCCACCTCCGCTATGAAATATCTCGGAACCTAGTGGATGTGGCGAATGGAGATACGAATCGATTTGCGATATTTTCTCGATCCAATTTTACATCATTAAGTGAAAGTGAAAGTTAACCGTCACATCTACACTGCGATGTTTCAAGATCTCATCGCTGTTTTTTATTTTTTGGAGAGAACCCAGCTGACATCCTCACTAGAAAATTATTGCAATTATCCTTACTAATATGATGGTTATTTTCACAAACTTCTAAGCAAACATGTTGGTTGGTTTCCCTCTAAAAGATTAAAATATGATATGAGATATCCATGTCTTCGGCTTCGGCTTCGGCTTTCTGCATAATCACAAATAAGACATAAACGAAACCATCACAATATGGAAATAGATCAAGAGAAAGGACGCGCGTCGCTGACGGCGCAGAGATGCAACTATTCGTGCTTGATGGGTGTCCATATTGCACCTGCAAAATTGAAGGCGCGATGGGGGAGAGGCGTGAACTCGCAATGCTCCTTTCTATACTTCCAATGAGGACTCGCTCAGATTCGACAGAAAAGTTGAAAAAACGAGGCCGGATTACTTCTTCGGCTGTGTTGCTCACGTAGTCCTTGTAGCATAACCACAAATAAGACAAATGGAACCAACACAATATTAAAATCGACCAAGAGAAAGCGTTGATGACGGCGCACAGATACGACAAGTTATTAATCGATTAGAAACTAATCACATAGATGGACCCTCTGATTTCCAGGTTGACATCAGTTGATAACATACCTTCAGAGTAAGACTACCTCTTTTAAGATTTCCCATAATTCCATCGCACCTCCTCAAAAATAACGAAGTTTATCAATCAAGTCAAGTGAGTAATATGTAGGCCGCCTGATGACAAAATTTAAACTCTAAGTAATTACAAAAGTGCTTCAAAATAATTATGTATTTTAATAAACCGCGACACCATCAGGAACGTCTACCAATTTAACGTTAAAGGTACCTAAAATGCAGACGCATAATGAATGCCATTTTTTCTTCGTTAGTTGGTCCTGCAAACATTCAACAGCGACGAATCTTTCTGCAGATTCTCCCATTGCTTGTCTTTTCGCGAATGTTTCCGATTCTGTCCCACTTCAAAGAAAAAAGGTGAATTACAATTTTGATGTGAAATGCCCGTTCTTTCTTTTTCTGCAGTGAGATTAATTCAATCTCTGTAGTTCTGATAGAAGACACACCTATAAAATGGATGATTTCAGAGGTTAAAGAGGTTTCAGAGATTTCAGAGAGGTCCCAATGGCATGACCTGACGCAATAATATAATGTCAGAGCAGTTTTGCTTGGCTTTAAAAAATCTAGGTAGAAGGTCAAATTTCAAACCTATTTAAAATTTGACCTCTTTCGAATAATTGATCTTACAAATTGAGGTAATTGAGGTGAGATCTCGCCTTCAAAAGGTTTGTGAGTTTAATAGTATTGCACACTTTTGAAGTCGTGACAGCATCATTGGAGACTGATAGGATTTCAGGTCTCCTAGAAATTGTTTGTTCGAACTGAGTTCGTGTGAAATTACGTAGCGCGCGCAGTTTTGTCGGGGCCGCGTTATGCATGAAGTATGCCTGCAATCTTGTAGGCGCTATATCTGCGTTTCACTACGGCCGCACTGTAAGGTTCTAAAGTTGCCTTCATTTCTCAGCGGCACAACATTCTATACATTTAAAATAATGTCAATGTGTGTATTCCTAATTATTTGAAGGGGTTTTTTAGACTTCATTTTTTCATTGATGTTACCTATACTGAACCAAATTTCCGGGAAGTGTCTCTATAGAATAAATTCGAGAGTCCAATTCAATTTTACATGGATAGAGGTCGTGAAATTGCGTTGGAAAGAGTTAAACAAAATTTTGTTTCATTGTCTGTTAATTTTAGAATGTGCGTTGACGATCTGAGAACTGAAAAATGTATTAAAGAGGAAGAAAAAACCCATGCTCAATTTTTAGGGCGATGTCACAATTTGGTCGCGACCGCGTGGCAGAGAACAATTTGCACCCCTGGCTGTAACTAAATATTATGAAGGTTACTTCACTGTCCTGACGTTTTTTTAAACTGACTTCAGTCGTATGCGCAGGCGTCATATTAAAGTAAATTGAGCACTTATTACAAACCCCGATTAAGCAAAAGGCGAATGGAATGGCACAACGTAACATAGTTTTTCTATTGTAAAATTTTGTGAAAAACACCGAATAATCGCTCATTTTCGGTCCTGAATTAGACTGTTTATGTATGAGCACAAGCGACTACCACTTTCATATTCGAATATGTAAATCTTTAGTACACCCATTACAACATATTTAAAGGAGGAAGTGGTAGCTGCTTGTGCTCATACATAAACAATCTACTTTTAATGAGCAATTATTCGAGAAAACTGCAAAACTTCACTACTTTGTGCTGGTAAATCAGGGAAAAACCTTTCAAATTACCTCAAACAAAGACAAGTTCTCCCAAGGTAGATGATTAAGAGTCGATTTGACCATACATCACGGTATTCTAAGCTGTTTCAATTTTCGACCAAAGTTAGGGCCAAAATACCCTCCTTAATGGGACACATCCTTTACAAAATTTCAGACACCTGCAAATTCTCTATTCCGAAAAAAATCGTTTTTCACACCATACTGAGAAAAAATTCTCGGCGTTTTTACCAAGGTCCGTTGGTACCTTTACCATCTCACTTTTTTTTACCAATTATTGGTAATTTTACCAAGACAGACTGGTAAGCTTACCTAAAAACCGGTATTCTTACTGTTTTTTTCAGGTAAGAATACCACTTTTATTGGTGATCAATTCCCGGTAACTTTGCCATTTTATCTCAGTAATTCTACCACAGTCTATAAAAAATATTGGCGTTTTTACCAAGGTCCAGTAAAATTACCGAGAAAGTTCAATAATTTTACGAGATTTCTCGGTAAAATTACCAATTCCATAAATGGTAATTTTACCAAGAAAAAACTGGGATCAAGTAGAACCCTGAATTCTTGGTAATTTTACCCTTTTCTTAGTAAATATACCGAGATTTTTTTTTTTCAGTGCCAAAGTTAGGGCCAAAATACCCTTCTTAATGGGACACATCCTTTACAAAATTTCAGACATCTGCAAATTCTCTATTCCGAAAAAAATCGTTTTTCACATCACACCGAGGCACCTCTCCTCTCCGTACGCAAAATTTCAAAAATACGCGATGTCGTCGACGTATGACGGCGTTCGTCAGGCGACGGTGGGGAAGGGGGGGGGGGGGTGGGCTCGAAGGCGGGAACCCGCACCGGCGCGACGCGCACCGCGAGCGGACGAGCGTACGGCGAGCACCGTCAGTGGAACGCGATAAGTCGCCCTGCGTGCAGTCCCGAATCCACGAGGTCCGAATCCCTCATCGCCGTCCCTTCACGCGATTCGCGCCCCCGCCACCCCTCGAGAACACCCCGAAAAACAGGAACTAAATCCCTACCGCGAGGTTAGAAGTCCCGTTGACCGGGAAAAAATTCGGCCCCAATCGCCGGTGTCTGAGATAATTCAAAATTTTATCCGAAAAAACTTGAAAATTTTGTGTGTTTTACCATACTATCGGTGCCGATCGGAAAAAAAATTGTCCCAGTCGCGAAAGATCAAACGTCGAAAATAGTTTGAATTTCCGACGGAAAGATTCAGTGAATCGTGATTTAGCATTGGGAGGATCTTTCAGTGTCGAAAATAGTGTGGCTCCTATACGTTAATTTAAACTGTCGGTTTTCTAATTTAGAGGAAGAAAAAATACTATACTTTTTTTGGATCCTCCGAGAGAGTACTGATACTTAAATCAGATTTGTTTGAAACTTGACGTCTCGTTGAGACATAGGTCTTAATTTTTTCGCCTCCATCGATTTATAGTTAAGCTTTTAAATTTGAAGTGGTGTGAAATTTTTTTAGTGTTTCGAAAAACTCATTCTATTCTGTATATTGTCGAAGAGTGGCTGATGTCTCATATGAGAGCGAATCTTTCTCCCGGAAGTACATAGATTTGTCTTACGTCTTCTTTGTGTAAATAAAGTTATTGGAAGTTTTACGTGTTTGATTAATTTTCTGAGTGATAAGAACGTGTGCTTCTGCTTTTCTTTGGATACCTTTTGGATCAGATTATAAACAGGTAAAAAACGTTCTTTCCTCTTCTTTGAAGTTACTTCTAATCGTTGAAAATTCCGAATTAAGGCGCTTCAGGGCCGCTGCTAGTTTTAAAAGGAACTTTATTTTTCAATTATAATTTATTATCTATTTTTAGATAGTTTCGGTAACAAGTTTTTCAATTTTTTGCAGAACCATCGTCCAAATGTGAAGTAAAATTGTAAATTAGGCGGCGTGGTATAGGAAACATATAGCACAATAATAATTATTGAAATTTCCTCATTATACTAAAAACAATGTAGGTACGCTCCACTAGATTAAAGCTTAAAGTCGAGCTGTTATGCTCAGGGAAGCATAATTTCCCAACTCTATAATATCAGCGAACAAAAATATGTAAAGAAATTTTAAGCGGCTAATTGAAAAACATTAGGCTACAGAAAAATTCAGAAAGTAAGGATTACTCATGATGTAGGAAAACTATTCGCAGTACATAATGGAAAGCCTTTATTGTAAATAAAAATTTGCAACTTTCAAATGGCAATTTGTGTCATTGTTCAACTAACTCCTTCAGTAATTATTACCATTCAGCCACGCTGTGTTTTTTACTTTTTATTTTGTTGCCTTTTCGGAATTTAGAAAAGTTGACTCCTGAAGCTTTTTTCCCATTCTCAACATGCGGATGGAACAACGAAAACTTCGAGATCGATGCACTTGATTATGAAATATTTGAAACGATCTTTTAAGTATAGACTTTGAAACAGTTTGATAAAGACTGAAGTTTGATTTAGGCAGTCTATTAGGGGCTAAAAAAGAGAGTCAGACAGCGAAGGATGAGTGGGAAAGTGGTAGACGAAGAGTCAGAGTGAAAAAGATTTTTGCTACATTACTGTATCTTACACATGACTGTAAATTGTAAAACTTGAACGATACTTTAGTGCGAGCATTAGTGACCATCCAAAGGTGAAACAACTTTGGTGCCAAAAACTTCAAACATCAATTAACTCTTCCGATAGGAATATTTTTCAAAATGGCTATCCAAAAATGTATTAGCAAACTAGATCTATAGCGCCTTTAATTTCACTTTTGAAAAGGAGTAGTTTCGAGGAAAATACATTCAAGGTTTTAATATGCAATGGTCAGGGCTATCAAAATCGTTGGAATAAAATACAAAATTACGTCCTCTATGGGCATGCAATTCAACCATACCGCTTGCACGTTATTCTTAATGCCTTTGATATAGATTAGAGGATTTTTATATAGGTACCCTAAGACTTTAAAATTCTGATGTTTTGACACAACCAGACAAAAATGCTGTACTCTACACTGAAAAAAAACTCCGGTCGTGGGAGCCGTACTTGCGGTCTGTGTAGACGTACCGACTGGGTTCCAGGTTCAGAGGCCGAAAGTACCGGGTGAAGCGCCCGGAGCAGTCGAAACTACGGCTCCAGCACCCGGAACTTTCGGCTTCCGAGCCGGGAACGGACGGTATGTCTATACAAGGTGTCCCAGGATTAAATACGAATATTGAAGGAGTCGATTCTTTGAGTCAAAAAAAGACGTTTTTGTAGTATACATTTTTTTCCAAAAACGCTTTCCCTGGGCGCCACGACTCCCCAAAATTGGAGGAGAAAAATCGTCTTTTTAACACTGCGGCAATGTTTATCAACCAACGGCACCACGAGATTCAGCGTTGTAAAATATTGAGAAAATTTCTCTTGCGTTGTTTCGCTATAACTCATCGTTTTCGAGATAATGGGGACTGATAGGGAATAATAGGAGCTGATAATAGGGGGATAATGGGGCCCCACGGAAAGCGTTTCTCGAAAAAAGTTATACCACAAAAACGTCTTCTTTTGACCCAAAGAATCGACGCCTTCAATATTCGTACTTAATCCTGGGACACCCTGTGTAGCCCTTAACTCTTTTTTCAGTGTATGAGAAGTTTCTATAGTAAAATCTTGCATATCAAAGATTAACACACGGCTTTGATTCGCACCTCGTTACCGGCCCATTTTCATGAGGAGAAGCCCCCGAATCTCTCATTTCCGCTCATTAGACGTCGGAGGGCGACCGCACGCGTTAACCGTTTAATCCTCGGTGTTTATGAGCATCGTCGAATGAGCCCATTGTTTCGGTCTCCCAAGAAACAATACCGCGACCACCTCCTCATGGGAACCCTGGATGCCCCCCGAGAGGAGGGGGGGGGGCGGCGCTAACTACGTGTGCAGGAATTTCCTGCGGAAACAGAAGCAATTTTCTTATCAATTAAAGCGGAGCTGAGTGGTCAGGAGCGCGTAGCGCGTGCTGGAGCCGCACAGTGGATCGAGTCAATGGGAAGGGTCGGACAAAATTTGGAAACTTTGCGAGCTTATAACCCCGTTTATACAAAATTTTGAGGTCCTAAAAGTGGCTCCATTGGTTTCCTCGTGAAATTTTCTGCTAGAATCACCCCTTAAAATTTAAAATGTGATGAATTAAACATCAAGATTTACAGCTTTCGTCAAAAATTTCATGTCCGACCTTTTTGATTGACTCAACCACTGTGAGCCGCAGCGCGCACTGCGGTTTGCGCGCTGCGTGGGGAGCATCGGACCAATGAGAGTTCACTATTGCAACATCGGCATTTTCTTTCAAATTCCCCGCGCTAATTCTGAAAAGAAACGAACGGAACAGAACATTTTCTCATGTCCGATTCTTGAATAGGGGAATGTAGCGTCCCTTTATAGAGAGAGTTGGGACAACGCGGCTTATGGATGTTACAAACGGGAATAAAGATTAGATACACACCGAGAAAAAAAAGCTCGTGCGTGGGACCCGAAGTTTAGGTCATATGGATCTCTGAAGTTTTCGGATTGAGCATCTGAACACTTTAGGTCTAGCTGCCGAGGTTCGGATCACACATCTGAAACTTCAGTTCTCACATCTGAAGTACTTCAGATGTGAGAACCAAAGTTTTTCAGATGTGATAATCGAAGTTTTTCGGATGTGAAAACCGAAATACTTCAGATGTAAGAACTGAAGTTTCAGATGTGTGATCCAAACCTCAGCAGCTGGACCTAAAGTGTTCAGATACTCAACCCGAAAACTTCAGAGATCTATATGACCTAAACTTTGGGTCCCACGCACGAAGTTTTTTTCTTCGTGCAAAAATCGGACGTTTTTTGTAATCTTTGAATTTCTTGCCCCGAGCGCCATTGCGAGTAAAATTGTCCAAAAAATTTGAAGAAAAATATTACGCCGTCGGCAAGAGTATCTTTACCGTCGGCCCGTGTCAAGTATTCTGCCGTGCTAAGAAAGAACACCGTATGAGCCTTCAAGCGTTGCCAAAGTTCCCTGGATGAAACACGAATTTCCTGGTAAACTTAAGAATATTTTTCTTTCAATTTTGTAGATAATTTTGTTTGCAATTTGGGCGTATTTCTATCAAACGGAACTAAGCGCCATAGGGGAAGGAATGGAGAGGGGGGCTTGGATTGGCGGGTTCTGCGGAACGCGATGCTCTTTCCGTCCTATACTCGCAATGCTTTTCCATGGCGCTTAGTTCCGTTTGACGGAACGCGCTATCCGGGATTCTGAAATTCTCAAAAGCCACTCGATTTGGCGCCTAATACCGTTTAGCAGATTTTCGCCCATTTCTCCTAAAGCCCTTGTCCCACGATCAAATGAACTCATCAAATGCAAGATGGCGGTTTCATCAACATTTGACGGTCCGCTAACATTTGATAGCGAACTTGCGCGAAAACCAGGCGAAAACCTGTCGCCATCTTGCATTTGACGAGTATTTGATAGGTTCATTTGATCGTGGGACACGGGCTTAAACTTCCTGAAAATTTCAAGGGAAAATATTCGTAACATTCCTCAAAAATAAACATTGTATCGTAGAAAATTTGGCAACTCTCGAATGCTCATGCGGCGTTCTCCCTTAGCACGCGGCAGTATTATTCTGCCGTGCTAAGGAAAAACGCCGTATGAACATTCTAGAGTTGCCAAATTTCCTCTCAGATAACAGTTATTTTTGAAGGAAGTTATGAATATGTCTCCTTGAAATTTATAGGAATTTTAGGTGAAATTGCGACTAAAATTGTCTGAAAAATTGGAGGAAAAATATTCACAAATTTCCTCTGAAATTCGTGATTTCCCGAAGGAAATTTGGCAACGTTTGTTGGTTCATACGGCGTTTTTTCTTAGCACGGCAGTATTACCCTTTGCATCCTTGGATCCGCGACTGAAGAATGAGCAATACTAAAGTGAGGCTTGGGCTGGGAAGGTGGAAAATTCGGGTAAGAATCGAAGAATCTCGGGGTCGGGCTCGGGTTGCGGACTAGTGTTCGCGCTATCCGGAATTCTGAAATTCCCGAAAGGCACTCGATTTGGCGCCTTGTTCCGTTTGGCAGAAATACGCCCATTTCACCTAAAGTTCCTGAAAATTTCAAGGGAAAATATTCATAACTTTCCTCGAAAATAAACATTGTATCGTAGAAAATTCGGCAACTCTCGAATGATCTTGCGGCGTTCTTCCTCAGCACGTGGCAGTTAGAGTCCCTTTATACTGAGAGTCAAGACAATGCGAATCCATTTCTGATTGGTTCCCGAATTTTAGGCCTTCACAGTGTCACAAACGGGAATAAAGATTACATTTTCACCGATTGCAAAGATTATAATCTGGAATGGACCGGGGAATTACGGGTTCGGCAAGGAACAAACGGAATGAGAGAAGGAACGAAGAGAGGAATTTGAGAATGGGCCGATCAAAGATTACAAATAACGTTCAATTTCTGTAATCTTTATTCCCGTTTGTGACTCTATGAAGGGTGTTGTCTTGACTCTCAGTATAAAGGGACTCTAGTGCTGCCGTGCCAAGGAAGAACGCCGTATGAACCTTCAGGCGTTGCCAAATTTCCTTTTAAAAAACGCAAATTTCCTAGTAAACTTATGAATATTTTCCTTCCAATTTTTCCGATAATTTTGTTCGCAATTTTACCTACCGTTCTTGAAAATTTCAAGGAAGAATATTCATAACTTCCC